TATGCATCTTTGGGGATCTATTCATCATTATAGTTTCCGAGAAAATCAATGAAATGTGAAAACACTGCTTTCTTTAACGTTTTTACAACTTTGAACGCCAATTACAGCCAAACGGATAATACTACAATAATATATGAATACTCGTTACAATCCCCAAATATTCAGCTTTCATCAATGAAAATCAATGAAATGTAAAAACACTACTTTTTCGAGCATTTTTTAAAGTTTGAACACGATTTACAGTTACAGCAAATTGAAACACCAGCTCCATCTATGAAGGGATACACTAAACCAAGAGCCGTCATATGGAACATCTGTTGCCAGTGACATCTCATTTTTGTCAATCGATTGAAGCATCGATTTGTTCAAACAGTTAACGTACATTTCGAAGCACATATGAAACGACGACTTTAGAAATTGAGATTGGGAAAAATTAGCATACGCCATACGTTGGCAACAAAACGTTGCACCAATCGAAAGCGCGATTTGAAAGTTCTCGGTTGGCAACAAATTCGAAACTTCCGCTTTCCCAAAAGGAAAACAAATCATTGTTGCTCTGGTGTGGGTGGAAGAAAAACGAATTGATGTTCCGTACGTTTTCTAATTTAAATAGGTTTTTCGCTTTTTCTTCATATATTTGTTGTCTGTTGTTGGTATAAACCTAGTGAAACATCGAAAAGAAGTAAAAAAACATATGTATCGTGTGTACGTGCGTTGCGTTGATGTTTTCCTCAAAACAAGTGCCATACTTCTACCAACATGTCACCTGACGTTCTTTCGTCGTTTCTCTTTTTTTTACGTTACCAACGTTTTAGAGGGAAATACGAGTATGAAAGCAAAGCCGCCTCACACACGCTCGCTCTCATGAAGAAAATTGATCGTTTTTTTTTCGAGGACGAGAACAAATAAATAAAGAAAGAAAAAAAATAAATTAAGAACAAACTTCCATTGGTTTCTTTAAAAAATAAAAAGCGCGCTCTCTTCACATACTTAAACAATTAAATTCGCATATCATCAACAAACAATTAAATCGATTACAAATAAAAATAATTTCCAAAAAACTTCTACTCTTTTTCGCTTCTTCCGTGTCTTCTTCATCCTCCTCTTCTCCAGCGATTTTCTTCGGTTCTTCGTTCCTTCTTCCGACTGTTATTCTCATCATCATCATCATAATAAGTTCATATTTACAAACAAAACAAAAAAAAAAGTTTACTTTTTTTTCTCAACTCAGAGTTAAAAACGAGATATCGCGATAATAATAATAATAATTATATAATGCACATTCATTCGGGACGCACAGCACACTTATCATTACAACAACAAAAGTATAAGACAACACCACCAACAACTTAATAAAAAAAAATGAGGGAGGGAAGGATACAAAAATTGTTCTGATGTTTTATAATTTGTTTTTTCTCTCGCATCATCTAGAAGGCGGCATTAGGAATTAACGATCGGATGGATGCGTGTGTGTCAGAGAGAGAGAGAGAGGGTGAGAGAAAGAGAGAGAGGTAAAGGCGGGGGAGTTTTTGGTCGAGGAAATAAAAAGCGCTCGGTTTCCGTGCAAACGAGCAATTGTTACCGGTTGCTACGGGAGACACAGAGAGATAATTAACAGATTTAGAGAGAGAGAGAGAGAGAATGATCATCGCAGATAGGATAATAGCGAGAGAGAGAGATAGAAATGCAACAACAGCCATTTATAATTATTATTTCCAAATCTGGTAGCACTTCTTCCGTTTTTCTTTCTTTTTTTCTTTCATATATATATATTTTTTTGTTTGTTAAATATAGTTTTAATCTAGTAATGCTCGGGTTAAAGTCATCATCATCATTATCATTACCATCATCATCATCATCAATAGTATTATTATTATTATTTCATGTTTTTAATTCGTCAAAAAAGCTTCCCGTCTTCATCATCATCATCATCTATTATATTCATTTATTATTACTATATATCTCCATTGTTTTCAATTTCATCCGCACTCCTGTTTCTTCCTTCCTTCCTCCTCCTCTTCTTCGAAAAATTAAGAAAAACAAAATGAAAAACAAAACGTACACATTCTATAATTACTTTTTGCTTTCTTCCTTCCTTCATCTTCGATTAACACAGTCCGGTTTTACCTTTCGTCTCCTCCTGCTGCTTCTTCTTCTCGCATAAGTAGTATGTAGTAGTAGTAATAATAGTAAACAACAACGATCGTTCCCTAAACATCATGAATATTCTGTATATTTTTTTTTGCCACTCATTACTTGTGTGTTCTTTTTGTTTAAGTTAATTAATTAATTAATATATATATTTATATATGCAAGAGCGGAAAGGATGACTTCCTCCTCGTGTTTTGTTTTGTTCACATATCGTTACTCTTTTCTTTTTTTTTTCTTCAATTTTCTCTTGTATTTTTTTTTCCCATCATCTTCATATTTTTTTGTTTGTTTGTTTGTTTGTTTTTAAATATATATATATAATATGTATACGGTTTTAAAAACTATATATACTCGTGTAGCTTTCGAAAAGGAAAGTAAAATAATAATAATAATAATGAAATAATAATTAGAATAAACACACTCTCATCATCATCATCATCATCAGTCTCTCAGTTGTAGATCTTAATCGCTTTTTCCAAGTAGTTAAACCTCGCCCTCTTCGGGGCCTTGTTTATATGCTCTAAACCTAACCAAGGCTTCGGACAACTCGCTGCAATCACAACAAAACACACGACGATTAGCAAAACAAACATAACAATTCGCACTTGGACTTGGACTTACTCTGCGTGGGGTGTGATTGTGACTTAAAGTCAGCCAAATTCATCACGAAATCATCGTCGGTGATGAAGTTCGCCCGGCCTATTGAAACAATAGCGAACTTGAACTTTTCGAATTCCTTCTCGGGGAAATTCAATTTCTTCTGGATCCTTTCTGTATGCACCGGAAACATTGCGTACAAAGAGACGGATGAAATGAAAAGAGAGAGAGAGAGAGAGCAAAATATAAATTCATTAGTAAACTGTGAAAATACTTCGATTGAACATTTTGCACTTACCTTTGACTTTGATGAAAGTCTCTCCCTGTTTAATTTTGATCAGGAAAGGTGTGCCAAAGGTGGAGAACACGTCCTTGTGGAAATGCGCGCACGGTACCAGCATCTCATCCTCGTCGAGGTGCATCTCCTCCTTGGGTACCTCCTCTATTCTGTAGATCTTGGTGGCGCACTGGAGCAGCGACTCCAGAGATACGTCCTCTTTAGGACCCATGCCCACCTTGTTGCAGTTGACCTCCGTCAATCGGAGTTTGCCGGTGCTTCCCTCGCTGAACTCGATCTGCTTCTTCGCCTCATCCAGGAGATCGCTGACGGTGCCGCCTTTGTTCGGGTACAGGATCAACTCCTTCTCGTCCTTCATCTTCGGCCCCAAGTACACGCACTTGAACTGCTTCTTGTTCTCCAGCTCGCTCACCCGGATGCTCAGTTGCTGGTAGAATATCTTCTTTGGCACCTTCGGTTTGGAGAAGATCAGCAGATCTTTGAGGTTGCCCTCGAACGTGCATCGCAGCGCATTGCCCGGACTATCCTTGTAACTGTGAACGCAATTGATTAAATAAATATATATATATATATAACAATGACGTTCTGATCAAGTCGATTAGCGATTCGATTGCACTTACCTCTGGCATTTGAAAAACTGCAGCAGGTAGGGATCTGTGCCGACGCGCTGGGCGACCGCTCGGGCGAGCTGATCGTACGTCATTCGAAGCGACAGCTCCATGGTGAATCCCAGGTCGCCGGGGATGCATTTGTCGACGAAGGTGACTTCGACGCGATAGAATAGATCCTTGAAGAAATCAATGCAGGTCGGCAAATCCGACAGTTCCTCGCGCTCCTCCTTTTCGAACACCAGTATGTCGCCATCCATGAGCTCATCGAGAACCTTTTCCAATGGTTCATTCAGATTACTGATCTTCTCGATCATGTTGGGTCTGATCTCTTCGTACAGAACCAGTTCGGTGCCGAACGGAAAACCAGCACGCTCGTTCAGCAGTGGCACGATATCGGCCAACTTGCTCGTAACTGGCAGATAGCTGTGACCGCAGTAGTGCATTTTCTTCTGCTTAGGATCGTACAGTTTGAAGAACATCAGCACATCCGTTTCCTTATCGAAAGGTGGCAGACCGATGGCCCCGGAATCCGGCGGCAGCAATTCCAAGAAGATGTTCCATGGGTTCTGAGTCTCGGCTGCGTCGATGACGTGCCTATGAAGATCAGAGTCGAGATCGAGCATGCTCGGTCTAAACGTGTTGTTCGATCTGGTATTGAATGGCCATGGTCGGATCTGCTCCGGCGGGTATTTGAAACCGTCCGCAAGCATTTCCATCATCTCCGCCACCGTCGAGTTCTTCTTGATCTTGAAGACACGGTAGAGCGCCTTCTCCGGATCGTACAGATCGTTGCCCTGATGCCCGTCAAACGAATCCTCGAGCAGGATGTTCAAGGTCATATACAGATGGGCCTCGCTCCTCTCCTTCCTCCTCACTTGTTCCATCCTCTTCTCCTCCGCTAATCGGTCGGCCAACTCTGTCGGGATATCGATGTCGGTCACCTAAAACGCATATTCATGATTATTTGTACTCTGCTCTGTCCCGTCTATCTGAGAGAAGCAGCTGTTCTTAACATCTGCAGCACATTTTCAAAGAAGATAAAAACACAAATTCATTCTTATAACAGACCAAAAAAGAAAATAACTGACAAATTTATGGTAATAATGCAAGTGTTGATTTCGTATATATATTTACAAATCTTGTTGTATTATTATTATTTTGTTTGTGTTACACTTGAATATAGAAGAGCGTTTCATTCAGAAGGCTGGTTAAGAACTGCTGCTTACTGGGGTGGGGGGGAGTTGTATGGTTGGGGTGGAAGTTTTCGGCTAAAAGCAAGACTGACTAACCTCTTGGAGTACATTGTGCAGTTCAGAGTCACGTATGTAGACCAACATGTATGCATTGGTGCAGTGTTTGACCGTCATGTTCATGTCCTCGTCGTGACCACCGTAATTGTGGTCGATAGCCTCCTGGATGGTACATCTGGAGACGACGTCATCGTCGAACTTGCACCATTTGCCATCGCCTCGGGGATTGATGAACACGACGTAGTGACCGCCATGGTTGTCGCCAGAGTGCACCAGGACGGCGTGCAGTGTGTAATTGGCCGGATTCGTTGGGTCCGGCTGCTGGAGGTAGCTGTCCAGCGAGATCTTCTCGTAGAATTCGAAGCGATCGTTGAACTTGACCGAGCAGTCGGTGATCGGATCGTACTGGAAGCGCATCAGATGTAGATGCAGGATGGGTGGAAAGGCCGAGAAGATGACACCCTTTTCGGCGTCCTGCAGTCCGTGCTCACCCGCATCGTACTTGTTGTCGCCGTCCAGCGTCTCGCGGGCGATATAGTCTTTGAAAGACTCGTCAACTGCAAAGAGATGTTAAGTACCCTCGTCTCCTCACTCTCTCTTCTCACTCGACTCACTATTCTTTTTCCCTTTGATATTCAGCTGGATGTCGTAGAACGTTTCCGAGCGGGTGCTCGTGTAATCGACGTTCTTGCAACGGATGTACGACATCATTTTACCTTCGAACAACTTGGGTACTGTGCCCTCCACGCACGTTCCCTTCATCTTACTCTCGAGTTTGTCCAAGAGGACCTGCACAAAATATAAGAGAGAGCGCGTATACGTGATTAATGATGAAACAAGTGAGTGCTTCTTACCCTGAGGAATTCTTGAACGTCGTGCTGCATGAACGAGTCGAGCGTTTCCCACCCGAAACTCTTGGTCAATTTCTTGGTGCCGACGGGTTTGTCGCAGAATTGCAATTCATGAAAAACACGTTGCAAAGCGAGAGCGACCGACTTCGTCGAATCATCCGACTCGGTGGGCATTTTGTAGACGGCCTTCCGCAGTTGATTCGTAAAGTACAGGGTCTGTAGCAGCGAATTCATGTAGCATGTTGCACCCTGGTTCTTCAGCCCCACGTATCCGGTATGCTTCTTGCTGTCCCAGGAGACGCCGTGCGGTGCGTCAGCCGTCACGTGCACCTCCAGAGTAATGGTGTCCTCTTTTATGTAGCCCTTGTCCGCGTCCAACACATCGTTCCAGCCCATAAAATGAGAGAAACCCCAATCGTTTTCCTACAAAACGCACATAACATAACATATTACAGATATCGATTTCGTCGTCGTCGTCGATCACTCACTTTCGAATAGAACAGATGCTGGATCTTACGGGAAAACGGCTCAACGTCGGGACGAACCGACAGCAGACGCAAATCGGCGTTGGCATAGCAAGACCAGGAGCTCGATTCGCTTTCGGCGTTACACTGCAAGAAGAAACCTAAAGACCTGGTGGCCGGCGTCCTCTCCTGCGCGTGGCTCGTTCTGGGCATAACCATTATCTTCCACGGCAGGTTTCTCACGTAGCACGGAGGCGACAAAACGGAGTCCTGCGACATCAGCGTCCATGCAAGAAATAAAAAAAGAAATCAGTATCCACGTGCATTGCGAACGCTCTCTCTCTCTCATTGCATTCTGCACTAGCAACTCACTTTAAGTTTGCTAAATTGTGGAACGGAAAAGCAGAATGTTGCTTCGGATCTGGCATCGTCTTCCTCCATCTCTGCATCCTGAGTGGTAGCGACGACGGCGCTGCCTGCAGCAAGGCCCGCCTCCGTCTGAGGTCCCTGCACCAAACTGTCCTCGTTCTGCGAATCCATCTCTCCTCCCCCTGCATCCATCATATATTCCATTGACGTGACTATAATAATAATAATAATAAAAATATTAATTGAATACAGAAACGACAACAACTACAACAGACACAAATCAGTGGATAAACGATAGAAAGATCGTGCACAAACCCGTACAACAACTGAAAAATTCTTTCTGCTCAACGATTTTCAAACAAAATTACAATAAGACACACACACACACAGACTTTTGAAGTTTCCTAAAACGCGCGCACGAAAACAAACAAAATGGAGCAGCGCCTTCAACTTTTGCCAACTCTCAAACCCAATCCTGTCACATCAATCCATCGTATCCAATTTTAATGATTATAACTTGGCTTTCTTTCGATCATAATCTTCCTCTCCTGCACAATCTTCCATTTACATTTACAAATTCTAATTATCATCATTATATTTCTATATTTGCAAGAGTTGCCAACAGAAAAGTTTCTGTTGTCAAGCGACAATGACTTAATGAATAACGCCCGCATAAATGATTTATTACCAAGTTTACCTATTGTGTATTCCGTAATTATACACGTTATATAGGTTAAATAACATTTTAGGCCTTAATTAACGTCTACAGTCATACTACTAACTGATCGATATTACAACGTTGTTGTCTCTAGGTGCATAGTAACAAAAGTTACAAAACATTCACTTTTTCGTTGATTCTTTCACGTATTGTTGTGTTCTGTATATCATCAATCAGCACAACAGTTGCCTTTTTCGATCATTTATTTATGTCTAAATGAGTAAACACAAAATAGGATAAATGTAATTTGAACATACCTCAATAGTAAATCAATATTGATCGAATGTTCATTTACAAATAAATTATTAATAAGAAATGTCTAGATTATGTCAACTGTATTACTACTATTGATTTGCAGCAGGTATCATGAACGTAATGACAAGACACTATAGACTAATTGGATTATTGTCTTTCACATTATAAACCAAACATAATATACTCGTACGTATCGGCAACGAGCTTAAACACGTTCGAAACATTGCCGGTACAATTGCAATGTTAAACCAATTTCACTGCTATTTTATATAAATTCATCAATTAGAATCGAAGCAAGCAGATGCCATCGCGAGTGCACATTATTTGCACGTGCATTTTTACACGCAGCTCTACATTATAATCTAATTACATTCAAACGCCTTATTGATTCCATTTCAAAATCACGTTGCCTTTTGCTAAGGTCGAATAACGAATAAATAAATGCTTCATTTTCATACAACAACACACTACTACTCACTGTTTCAATTATCCAACAACAACAAAAGTCTTTGTCAGTGTGACGTTCCTCTCTACTAATTGATAAACAATTACTAATTTCACCATAAAATCTAAACGAAATTCAACATTTGTAAAAATATTGAAGGCACACATACATGCACATTTAATAGGTTAAGAAAGTAACAGCAAAAAAAAAAGCATTTGAAATGGAATGTCACCTGAAATGGACAATTTGCTGTAAATATTAAATGTGTCCAATCGAAATTGGAAATATCTTTGCAAAAACCATCCGCAGAAATAAACTGTGTGGAGGAGATTCAAAGGCTATCGAATTAAACAATTCTCAAACACAAATGTCATCGATTGCAATAACCTCAATTGAAATTGTTGCAAATACATTGAGGTGCATATTGCATTGAACGAGAGACAGACGAGCGTTAAAAAAGTGAAAAGAAAACTTACAAGTATTCAAAGATAACGAGTAATTTTGGGCCTACTGGTTGTCCATTAGTCCACACAATCAATGCGGTAGCAAAAAAAACTTAAATTGTATTGAATTGTTGTTTCAGATTGGAGCAGCTACGGATGGACCGACACAGTACTAAAAATAGAGGATGATTGCTCATAGGAGAGACGGTCTGTCACCAACCATAAAGAGGACTTTCTGTTTTTGGGTGAGGTGAGTGAGTGAGCATGCTTGTGTGTGGTGTGTGTACAACTATGTATGAGTGTGCGTGCGTGTGTATGTGCAAGTAAAGTGCAGCATCATTTTCAACCATTTTTGTTCCAAAAATTTTTTTTTTGTGTGTCCATTGCAAATTTCATTGCAAACGACATTCGTACGTCGGACTGATGGGTTGTCGCTCGTTTTCGAAGCGTTATCGTTCTGCTCTCGCCTTCTAAACAGCAGCAGCAGCAAGCGAATATTGGAGCCCTGCTCCGCGATTTCCGCAATTGGAAATCTGTCAACTGTCAATACGATGGTGTTTTCGTGCGCGCTTATAGGTTATAACTTTTTTTTGTCTTTTTTTTTCTAATTTATAAGAAATGCAGATGTAATAACTACGATATATATATATATAGATATATGAGCGTGTGCGAGCGGGCGTGAGTGCGAATGTGCTATTATTATTTTTTTTTTATATATATGCAATTTACCGTCTTGTGTTTCCATCTCCTCGACGTCGTTGGCCACCACATTCAGGTTCTGCTGTTGCTGAGGGTTGGCGGCTGCTGTGTTGACTGTGCTCTCGGTCCTCCTCTCGCCGGTCACGTGGTTCATCGTGTCCGGGGGCGGCGGCGGTGGCTGCTTCTGCTGCTGGGGGGACGGCGGCGGCGGCGTCGTCGTTGGCGGTTGACGTTGATTCTCGGTCACCGCTGCTTGATGCTGCTTATTGTTGTTGTCGGCGACGACGACGATGTTGACGTCGTCGGTGGGGGCTTCGACGACGGCGGCTGGATTACTGCTGCTGCTGCTGATGTTAATACTGTTTGCCTTCTTGGCGCCCGAGACTGCGGTCAGCTTGACGAAGTGCTTACTCGCGATGCGCCCAATGTCTGCTGTTTTTCGGACCCTCAGTGCGAGGGAGGCGCATAACAAACATGAATTACTATATTCGCACACTCTCCTCTCTCACTCTTTCTTACTGTTGTCTATCTCTTTCAAACACACACACACTCCTTGCGGCCAGAACTCTATATCTATTGTGCCTTCTCTTCTATCTATCTCTCTCCCTCTCGTTCGTTCGTTCCCTCTATCTGACACAGACACTCGTCGATTCTCTTATTTTCTGTATCGGATGGATCTTATTGCGATCCTATTAATTACTGCAGTAATAGCACACACGGTTCCAACGGTTCGCTTTCTTCACTACCGTCTCACGCACAAAACGGATGGCGGATGGGCGAACGACTGAGACTGAGATGTCGTCTCTGTCGGGAGGGTTGTGTGTGTTTTCGTCGTCGCCTGCTCCTCCTTCCTCTTCCTCCTCCACCCTCACGCAAAATTCCGGAAACACTGGGCACCACCTCCTAGTCGATGCATATGGTAACGCCCGGTGCCTTCTTATTTGATGATGATGATGATAATGATTATTATTATAGGGCAACACTTCTCTCAACTCTGTGTACGTTGTACGTCGTTACGATGGTTTTGTCGGTCGGCGGCTATAATATGGGTATACGATGATGGTGATGATGGTATTGGTGGTGGTGGTGGAGCGACCAACGTTCGCCGATCTGCCGCTCGCTCTGTCTCTTTCTCGCGCGCGACCTCCTCCGTTCCTTCCCTCTCGCTCTGACTTGTTTTGTGTCGATTTCTGCCTCGGACAATTTTCAATCGAGAGCGCGACGACCGCAAACTGACACTCTCTCGGACATATGCAGCAACACAAGATACACACACACACTCTCTATCTATCTATATCTATATATTTATATCTCGCTTTCTCTCTGTATGGACACGAAAATGAACTTTTCAACAGCGCCGTTTCCCCAATATTCACCCATGGAAAACAACAACTCACCGCAATCCTAGTATATCTCTCTCTCCCTCGTTCCACTTCAATCGCCCTTTCTTCTCACTCCCTCACTCCGATCTGTCAAACAAAGTTCCTCCTCTACCAATTTGTATTTATATTATTCTCTTCGTATTCATCAACTATTAACTCATACCTTTGTTATGTCTATATATACATATATCCAATTTGATCTTGTTCAAATGCAAACAGCAACACCACGCACCTCGCCGCACATCAAAACCCACTGTCAAGCGATGCTCACGGTACCTATGATCCAATAGTATCAACCGCACGACAACATAACCTGAAGTGTCAAATCGTGCTTGCAACCGCGTGAAAGAAGTACAAAAAAAAGAACCGCTCGAATTGCTGTGAATCAATCGATTAGTTAAATCACGATAGACGCGCAAATCTAACGAAATATCGACTTAAATCTTAAATCTAAAAACAGTTGCGCGCGCATTCGCCATCTTCTTTGAATTCGAAATCTACGGTAGCTCGATTTCAGCGACCGCACTCTCGATTATTGAATTGATTAAGAAATGCATGCAATCAGTGTTAGTGTAAAGACACGGACATCTCCCCCAACAAGTTATCGATTTCTGATTGACGGGATGGGATGGCTGTGATTGGTTGTAGTGAACGCAGTAGTTCAAATGTTTCAACTATTATCTTTATTGTAAATTCTTATAAAATAGCCTAAGTGTGAACCCAAAACCCACAAATTAAACAAAAATAATAAAATAATCAAAGAGAATTAAGAGATAATAATGATAAGAGAACAAAAGTAATCATCCTTAAACGTATATACAGCGAAATAGAAAGTATCAATAAAAAATATATAATATATTATATGTATATATATAAATGCGGTTACAATTATTATTATATTGGTTACTGCCTATTATTCTTTGCCTTTATTTCTTTCTATCTTTCTGAATTTCCATCTATTCCAAAGTCATCTGCATTCGTTTTTTTCTCCTCCTCTTTCGTTTGTTACTTCTTCATCCATCTTCATCGATCCGGTCGGTCTCCTATATATGTTACAATCGAAATAATTTAATACTAATTAAAAGCACTTCGACTCAATTATCAATTATTTAAATTAAACAATATCGAAATCATACGTTTTTTTTAAAGAGAATGAGAAAGAGAACGAAATACAACCCCAAAAAAGAAATGAATTAACAACAAAAAAAAAACTAAATTAGAGTGAAAGTGGATGATATATATAGTTAGCGTTAGTGAGTGTGTGTGTAGGTGAGAAAGAGAGAAACAATAAATTAGCAAGAAATTACAATAAGATTACGTTCCTTTTCTTTCCATCAACTTCGTCTTCATCTCGCTTCGCCCATTCTTATACAATATAAAAAAGTTTCTTTTCTTTTCTCTAACTTCGTATAAAATAGCATATATATATATATATATATATTATTTTGTTTATATATATATATAGTATAAAAAAAAACATACGTTATTCTTATTTATATATAATAATATTAAAAAGTAGTTTTTGTTTTCTCTTTTTCCTTCATTTGTTTCACAATTGTGATAACAATTCTCTTCTCGTTGCCTGTGTTCTTCCCGATACACATGTACATTTATATATATAAAAAAAGACACATCTAAGTACACTATAAGACTTGTAAGTCACTCATTGATTACTCGTTCGCTGTTGGTTAATACAATTTTTTTTGCAGTTTCTTACTTCTTTTGTCATATCCCTTCTTCAATCGTAACAAAAATAGTAAATCGATTATAATATATACACGTAGGGGGTATTAAGTAGTAGTAGTAGTCATAGTTACTAATTATATATATATATAAAAAAAACATAATATTATTATGTATTAAGAAAGTGGGGGGGGCGGAGGGTTTGGGGATGGGAGAGTCATGCGTTGGCGCAGGGGCGGTGGTCGGAGGGGGGTTTGGTAAGGGGCGTTAGATCTCCATAGTTATGTTATTGAGGGGGGGCGGGACAGGCTATCTACGGTGGGCGTCGTTGAGGCTGTTATTGTTGTTATTGGTGGTGGTGGTGGTCGTACGGCCTCAATTTTGGGCGTCCTCTCCGTCGATGCTCTCGTCTTGGGCGGAATCATCTCCGGAGCAGTTGCCGCCTCCAGCAGAAATCGACGAGCCCCTCTTCGAGGAGGCCAAACGCGTGGATGACAAACCCATGCCGACGGTGCGCCTACGTAACGAAACACCAATCATCGATTAGCAAATGAGATTAGCAAACAATTGACAAATAGAATCGAAACAAAAATGCAAGCGAATGTAGAAAAAACAAAAACACATGTACAAATCATAAAATAAAATAAAAACGGAAGCAAAAAGAAGATATTCATGCGATCGCACACACGCAAACTTAGGATTAACTTTTGTCGTGAGAAATCACGTCGCAAGAAGCGTTCCGTCTTGTTAAAAAAGATGCTTTGTAAAAAGAAATTAATTTGGTAGGCGTGGCAAAACAAAATCAACACCATTCATTTAATATTATTTGTTCGTTTGTTTGCTGTTTGATTTTTTTTTATTTTTAAACACGTACCAATTGGGTTTGCTTTTTATTATTATAATGGTAATTATTTAATCACGTTTTAGAACTGAAAACAGAAAGAAGAAAAGAGACATTGGATGGGGGATCGATCAAACACATATCATGTTAACATATATAGAGAGTGGTAAGAGTGTAGGGGGTGAGTCACCAAGTGACCGACTTACTGGTAGTACTCTGGATTCGCAATAGCCCTAGCCATGGCCCTTTTTGTATAACGATTTTTCGTGTGATGAGAATGCTTTACAATATTTCACATACTTGCTATTGATTATTAATTATCTCAATGTCTATTGAGCGTTGGGATAGGGTGGCTGGGGGCAATGTTGGTAGTGTGGGGTGGAGATTTCATTCTGGCATATTCACCTGAGTTTGCTCTTGAGGTTGCTGACTTCGCGCGAGAGCGAGTCGTGCGCTTCGTACATATCCTCGCATTCTCTCTGGAATTTCCTCTTCTGCGCCTTCTCTCTGCTCAGCTCCTCCTCGGCTTCCTCCAGCTGTCGCTTCACTATCTTTTGGCGGGCGTTCACCTTCTCCAGCTGTTCCTTGTACTGGTCGGCGTGCCTCCTCTCGTCCTCCAGCTGCATCACCAGCTCCTTCAGCTTCTTGTCCAGCTTACGGTTGGTCTTCTGTTGGGCGTAGCGTTCCTTCGCCTCCACCTGCAAACGATTAACTAGATAACAGCAATTCCACAAAAACAACATCAACGATGACGTACCTCCAGTTGCTCTTCCAAGTTGGTGATTTTACTCTCGAGGGCGGTGATGGTGGCCTTGGTCTTGGTGCGTTGCGCGGTCTCAAGCTCAGCCAGCTTCGCTCGCAGCTCCTTGTTCTGTCTCTCCAACAGGAGACGACCGGATTCGTTCTTCTGCGATGCAGATCTTTCGTTGGCCAATTCGGCGGTCAGCTGATCGACGGTCATCTGCGCTTTGCGAGCGCGGTCGGCGAGAATCTCGTTACTCGTCTGCTCCTCTTCCAATTCCTCCTCCAGCGAGGCTATCCTGGCTTCCAGACGACGCTTTTCGTCGGTCAGCAAAGTCGCCTTGTTGCCGTTCGTATTCATCTCCTCCAGCAGTTCGTCGCGCTCGGTCTCGGCGGCTCTCTTGGCTCTCTCCGAGCTCGCCAGATCTTCGTTGGCTTGCATCAAATCGGCCTCAAGTGTCTTCACTTTCCTTTCGGCATCCTTGCTCGAAGCGGCAAGTTCATCCCTGGCCGCTCTCGCTTCTTCGGCATCTCTGGTCGCTTCCTTGCACTGTTGCTGCGACTTTTTCAGCTGTTTCAGTGCGTCCTCCTTGACCTTGCACTGCAACTCCACCTGTGACTCCATCTCCTTGAGATCGCCCTCCAGCTTCTTCTTGGAGGCTACGGCTGCGCTCCTCTGTTTCCTTTCTTCGTCCAACTCCGCTTCCAGATCACGCAGCTGCTTCACGATTCCTCGTCTCTTCTCCTCGGCCTGCTCTTCCTTTGCTTGGAAATCGCGATCAAACTGCGACTTGAGTGCTTGCATGTTCACCTCCAGACGCAGTTTGGCGTCCTCCGTCAACTGCAGCTCATCTTCGAGCTCCTCGTTCTGGGCCTTCAGTTCTGCAAGCTGCGATTCCAGCGACCGTTTGGCCTTCTCCAGCTCGTGCACGTTCTTATCGGCGGTGCCCTGGTTGTTGGCGAGTTCGTCCAATTCGGATTGCAGCTGACGTTTCACGCGCTCCAGTTCTTCAATTTTCTCCGAAGACTCGTCCAGCTCTCTGCTGAGCGAAAGAACACGGGTCTCCTTCTCCCTGGCCTCACGTTCCGCGCCGTCGCGTTCTGCAGCGTTGCGTTCGGCGATAGCCTTTTCCTCTGCAAGCGTCTTGTCGAAGTTCTTCTGTTTCTTCTCCAGCTCGATGACCTTGGAGCGCTGCGCCTCCAGCTCGATGTTGGCATCCTCCAGTTCGGCTGCGATCTTCTTCTTGCTCTTCTCCAGCTTATCATTGGCGGCCGTCAACTCCTCGACCTGTCGCTGCAGCGCCTCAAGGTCCTTGGCGAGCTTCTTCTTGCTCTCCTCTAGCACCGCGGATTGTTCGGACTCCTCGTCCGCCTTCTTCTTGGCCTCGATCAATTGCTGGGTCAACGTAGCGAGCTGCTTCTCGATATTGTGCTTGGACTCCTCCTCCTCGTCCAACTGATCCTTCAACGTCTCCTTCTCCGCTTCCAGCTGACGCAGACGCGAGCTCAGCGCTAGCTTTTGTTTCGTTTCTGCCTCCAGAGCAGCCTGAGCCTCAGCAAATTGCGATTCCATGGTCACCTGACTCTTGGTTGCGGCGGAAGCCCTAAAGAAAAGAAACGCAAATCACATTGTTAATTCATATACGTTCATTCGCATTTCGTGGTGTGTGTGTCTCACTTAAGTTCGGCCTCTTCGAGTTGTTGGGCAATGCTGTCGGCTTCGGATTGCAACTTCTGCGCCTTCTCTTGGAGATCATTGCGGGATCTTTCCACCTCGGAAAGTTTCGCCTGAAGTTCGGTGAGTTGGCTCTCGGCCTGCTTGCGTCTGCGGTCGCCTGTATACATTCAGTTTCAATATTGTTACACTTATACGTACTATATATATATAAGAATTTGTTCTTACCTTCTTGTCTGCTCGCTCCGACCGTTCTCAACTCGGTGGCCAAATCGGCGTTGTCAGCCTCCAAACTTTGCTTGGACTTTTCAAGAGCGGCCTTGGACTTCTTCAGGTTCTCGAGCTGCTCGTTGATGGCTGACAGCTCTTGCGTATGCTTGTGTCTCAAATCGGACACGGCCACTTCGTGCTGTTGCGTGTCATCCTCGAGACTCTTCTTCAGCGTAGCTAATTCTTGTTCGCGTTTCGAACGTAATTCCTGCTGCGCAGCAGTCGTGTCCAACGAATCGAGCAGCTCGTTCTTGAGCGCTTCCAGTTCTTCGTTGAGGTCGCGCTTCTGTCGCTCGGCTTTCCCGCGAGCTGCCTTCTCGGCCTCCAAATCTTCTTGCAGCTCGGTAAGTTGACTCTCCAATTCACGGAGGGCCTTCTGCGAGGCAGCCTTTCCTGCACCCTCCTCGTCGACGCGCACCATCGCCTGTGCCAATTCTTCCTCCCTCTTGCCCATCTGCAGCTGCAACTCCTCAAGCTGCGTACGCTTCTCCTGCAGTTGCTCCTTGAGGTCGTTAACTTCGGATTCAACTTTACGCTTGGAACGATCCGACTCCTGGCGCTGCTGGTGGTCCTTCAGCAGACGCTCCTCCAACTCGGCAATCGTCGCCTCGTGCTTCGACTTGAGCTTAGCTAAATGCTTGGCCTTCTCCTCTTCCTCTGCCAGGGTTTGCGATAAGTCGGCGCTGCGCTCTTCGAGAATCTTCTTTTCCTTCAGCAACTTTTGATTAGTGTCGTCGGTCATCGCCAAATCCTCCTCGTATTTCTTAATCTTCGCATCCAATTGCACCTTCTCCAATTGCAGCTTTTGCCTGGCCGCTTCCTCCTCTTCCAGCTGATCCTCCAGATCCTGTATGTTGATCTGCAATTTCTTCTTGTCATTGTTCAGCGTATTCGCACGCTCCTCCTCCTCTTCGACGCGTGCCTCTAAATCATGCAGGATCTCTTCGAGTTCCTGCTTGCGAGCCGTCAATCTAGCACGGTTTTCTTCCGCTTCGGCGCACAATTCCACCTCAGCTTGCAACTGCTCCGCAAGGATCATCTTCTCTTCGACGGCCGATTGGAACTTCCTCTCGAATTCCTGTGCAGACTTCACATGCATATCCAACTTATCCTTGGCCTGCTTCAACTCGTCCTCCTTCTGCATCAGCTTCTCCTCCTGTTTAGTCACTTCCAGCAGAGGTTTAACTTTAGTGTATAACCTCCACCATTGCCAGTTACGTAACTTGAGATACGCGGAGCAATTGCGCTGAATAATGCGGATTGCGTTCAACTGCTGCACCCGTTTTTGGTAGTTTCTGCGCGATAGATGGCCACGGCAGAACGCCTGGAAGTTGACTATCAGATCGGTGATCTTGTAGTCTCTCTCTTCTTCCAAATGTGCCAAAACACCAGCGCGGAAAAAGATCTTGCTTTGTCCGATACGGAAGAGGTTCTTGTCCAACTCCAAGGTCTTGATCATCGTCTCGCATGCTTTCTTGCCGTCCATGAAACCTTTGTTGATCACATTCGGCGTCAAAAGTTCGTAACGTTGGCGGAACTCCTGGAAGGGAATCCTGTTGGGGAAACCTTGGCGACAGATACGGATGCCCTCGAGGACACCGTTGCATCGCAGCTGATCGAGGATCAGAGGAGCGTCGATCTTGCCGGCGCGCTTCTCGTGGTTCGGGATGATGCAACGCACGAAGTTCGGATTTGTGTTTCTCAGAGTGACCATCAGATTGGCCAATTGCTCCTTGTAGAGGTAGGAGACAGTTCGGAACATGCCCTTGGCGCGACCAAGACTCTCTGCATCCTTCCAGATGTGGACGACGAAAGGATCCTGCGATGCCTGCAGTAAAGTGACGACGTTCTCGTTTTGCGGGTCCATATTCTTCATCAGCCACTGCTCGGCAGAGTAATCTACTTTGCCGGCATAGTGAATGATGGAGAAGTCGGCAACGCCACGGAAGTCGCTCTTTTTAAACTTGGGATGGGTAGTGTGTGCGCTGACCAGTTTGTCAACGAACGTCTTGTCGTTGGCCTTAGGGAAGAGACACTCTTCGTCCAGCAGAGCCATAATGCCCATGGGTTTGTCGATGAGGTCGATGGTCGGCTGCAGATCCAGTCCGAAATCGATGAACGTCCATTCGATACCCTCGCGTTGGTACTCTTCTTGCTCCAGGATGAACATGGTGTGGTTGAACAGTTGCTGCAACTTTTCGTTGGTGTAGTTGATGCACAGCTGTTCGAACGAGTTCAGGTCGAAGATCTCGAAACCAGCGATATCGAGGATGCCGATAAAGCTGGCTCCCTGTCTCTTGGTGCGCCCCAGTGATCTATTGATGCGCGTCACCAGCCACCTGAACATGCGTTCGTAACAGGCTTTCGAGATAGCCTCCACAGCAAACTCGACCTGCTCTTTCGTCTGAGATTTGTTGACGAAATCGCGGCCGACTTTGATGCGTGGCTTCAAGAAAGCCTTCGTCATGTCCGTGACCGATAAGCCGAGCAAATGGGCCACCTTCTGGGCTACAGTGTTGTCGGGCAGCGTCGCCTGATCCGAATTCCTGTCCTGCCGGAACTGCATCGTCCCGAACAACATCACAGCAGACACCACCCTAAATATGGCGCTGAAATCCTCGTTCGTCATGCCCATGATGTTCATGCTCTTCACGGTGTTCTGGAACTCTTGCGAGTCGTCCACTCCCGGCACGATGTGGCTATCATCCTGCAAGAATTGGTATGCTTTCGCTTCCTCCAGTATGAACTCCTCTGTGAAAAAACGATAGAAATGAAGAAAAGAAACATAAATGACAATAGAATTTGTCAAGCTATAACTCACTCTTCTGTTCAGCAGAGGCTCCTGCCAGCAATTGGTAGAAAATATGGAACGTTCTCTCCTGCTTCGCTTGTCTTATGGCACGTGACTTTTCCAATAGATAAGTCTCAATGTTGGCGCCGGCAATGTAACCGGAAGCATCGAAGTTGATTCTGATGAATTTACCCTACCAAAAAGAAAGAATCACGCAGCATAAACATCGTCACTTGAAATGCAGCAATTCAGATGCACAGATTGAAACTTACGAATCTCGATGAGTTGTCATTCTTTACGGTCTTGGCGTTGCCGAACGCCTCCAGAATCGGATTGGCCTGCAGCAATTGTTGTTCAAGGCCACCCTAGAAGAACGTCCCCGCATAACGGGATTACAGTTTGAATCTCGTAAAGCGGACAAATGTAGGAAAAAAAAATATACAATAGATCGGTTATACTCTTGTTGCTTTGCACGTCTCGTTTATTTTTATATTTTCGTATTAGTACTGTTCGAAGTAATAATCGAAGATGAGAGACAAAGAGAGAAGAGCAACGGAAACGCGAACGATAAACGGAGATGGAGGAGAACGGTGCTGCAAAACCGGGCGGGTTTCTCACCTAATGCAATTAGTATAAAGTAGTCGTGGAATGAAATACACAAGCATATTATGAATTCCGACTGTGGATGCCGCGGACATGCTTTACATACATTACATGTTAAAACTACACAACCGATTTATACAAGACACCAAACCAATCCAAAAAAAATAAAAATAAAATTGCGGACGTGCCAAAGTACATGACATGATAGGTGATGATTGATATGCAGACAGAACAGAAAATCAAAAAGAAACAATACTAATTGCTCGCAATTTTCACAAACTATTTTAAACATTTCAATTAATTTGCTAACTATAAATAATGCATCAGTGTAAGTTTATTTTGTTGTTGTTGTTGTATGTTATTGATGATGTTGTTGTTGTTGTTGTAGTTGTGGTGTTTGGGGGATGGCTATAGTGCAACAACATTTCGCATGCAGCTGCTATATTAGATCGAAAAGATGGGATCAAGTGACGGCTCTTAAACAAATGCAATGTTCGTTTAGGTGTCGCGATCGGTGCGTACTTAGGCCATGCGGAGCTGAGCGAAGATTTTTTTTTGTACTATTTTGTCGAAATCATACCGAAAATAACTCGTACATACCGAGAACTCCCTTGTGGGACTCTGGGCTCAAGTAGAAGTGATTGAAGTAAGACAGACAGACAGACAACACACAACATGGAAACAAGAACATTTCGTCACGTAATCATCATTTTTGAAGAGGAAATCATAGCAGTATTTGAATTTCGCAAACAGAGAAATAATAAAAGTAGAAAAAGGTGCTGCTACGCATTTTCATATACGGTTGTCACGCAAATAGAGATAGATAAACAAATAAATATATATATATAAAGGACTACTTACAATTAGGTCTTTGTGCTGCTTTCCACCAATAGAAGAAGAATACATGCCGGGAAGAGAAGAGAAAAAAAAATAAATTAGAGATACAAAATCACCGAAAAATATACGAAATGAGTGGGTGAGAACTACCGCGATTGTGGCGAGTGGAAGAGAGAAGCACTTACCGCGCCGGAACCCTTCGGCGATTTAGAGGCGGCGACGTACGCCAAATACTGGATCACTTTCTTGGTGTTTTCCGTTTTTCCGGCTCCCGATTCGCCGGTGCACAGGATTGATTGATCTTCCCTCTCTGAAAACAGTCAATTATTATTATTAATAATTCATCTTAATCCTACTTACGTTAAGTACAAACGGACTAAAGCGCTCGAAATCTACGTTACATCAACTCAATTTTACCAAACAATTATAAACGCTTTCCTTTGATTAACGTAGTCCGTCATTGACAGCATCGGAAAATCAATGCTACCAATCCAATCTCATCAAAGACATGTACTCATCTCTTCTCATTCTAACAACAGCAATTCGCTATAATTTACGACATTCGTTTTGTTTTTCGCCGTAGCGAAGTTTCGAAACAACGCTCCCCCATTGTTTCCGAAATGACTAGCGTAGTTCGCCGATGCTGCCAATCGCCGATTTGTCCCGCTTAATTCTTCCGTTTCGAATTCGATTTTCCCGTTGAAGAAATACGAAAACTCAAGAGAAAAGTGATAGGATCAGGATAAGCGCTGTTTCCCGATCAGGATTGCGTCAGGTGACTGAATTTTCCATATTTCAATCAAAGAAAATCGCTTCGGTAAAAGTTCGAATTTGCGCGTAGCCATATTGCAAATGTTTTTATTTTATTTTAAATGTTACTTGATTTTATACATTTAAAATACGAAAATTGTCCAGCGGTCCCAAACTGAGACGAATATTGAAAACTTTGCGAGTTACGGTTGAACACATATCGCACGTGATTCACTAATATTACCTTCTGCAAATTCAATTATTAGATAATCGCGATCGCTTTGCAATCCGTGCAATTTACGCGTTGGCTAATTTCTCTCCGCATTCGATTACCTATTACGTTGCCAACGCTAACTGCATGAGAAGAGATGATAATCTAATTGATTTGTGTTTACTGTGATTGCAGTGCGCGTACACCCATAATTAGATCGCGCCAAAGAACAAATGTTGAACACATCCAGTTTTAAAGGAAACGGGGCTGCAGACATGACTGTAGACACTCTCTACACGTTTATATAGTTCATTTCCCCCCCAGCTTATCTCAAGAATTATTTACCTTAGATAATAAATATCCCTATGATGCTTACACAAGGTGGTCATTGACTCAAACCTTCAATTAAATTGTATAATATTTTTCATGTAGATTTGCAACCCCAGATACCAGAGGGATAGGACCGTGCGTCTGCTTTCATTCGCTTTTGTCATTTGATGATCATCATCGTTCATCTCTCGAAAGAGACAGAGCCTCCCGTTGTTTGCTTTGACATGACATCACCGGCATCACACAGACGCGGTGTGATTTCTATTTGAAATGGAAACCGAGAAACCTTGAAAACTGTTTTTTTTTTCTTCTCTCGCAATATTATCTATGTACTATTTTTGCATTTTCATCCTCCGGTGATATTTTCAGGATTCTTCTTACCTTGGAGCATGGAGCGGTACGCGGTGTCGGTGATGGCGAAGACATGGGGCGGCACTTCGTGGCGCTTGATGCCTTTGTATCTCTCCATGATCTTCTCTGTGTAAATGGGCAACTTCTTGTAGGGATTCACGACAACGCAGAAGAGTCCCGAGTAAGTCTGCAAACAAACAAGTAAATACAATTACATATACAGTTTAAATCATTTCAATAGCACGCTCTTGTACTTTACTAAATGGAGCTTTCAGTTTAATTAAACTATTTCAGTTATTAATTGCAAACGATAAGAACGGGGAATTAATGAAAAGGGTATGATAATAGGAACGTTAGCTTCATTGCATTTGCATATTCCAATTGGAAAAAAAACTAACTGTTTATACTAAGTCATATAGTATATGTATATATAGTAGGGAATTCCAATTAGAACGGTTAATTGAAAGAACTAATTGGTGTTGCATTAAACTCTTGTAAAGTATATCGAGTGTCAGAGAACATGACACCGTATCAGTGGTTGGGTTTCTCATGACAGAAGTCGAAGAAGGTGGAGATCGATAAATAAACAAGTCGAATGTAAACAGTTTCTCCATTTTCAGTGCAAACGCCCGAAAGATGACAGATTGATCTTCACGTTTTCGACTCTGTTTTACCCAATTCATCTCGTCGCAGTATTTTATATGGTTCTGTCGTTATCGCGGCCGGCGGTCGGTAATTAAGCGGGTGCGGGGAGAGGTCGACGCGATAACCGTCCTCTCTGCCCTAATCGAGAATTGCAATTTGATTGCCGCTTTATTGATTTGTTTATCCGGCGGCAGAAACCGTCCGAAAGAAAAATGCAAAAATCGTTTCTCAATTTTCCATACAAATTGGCCATCGATGTTTCTATTGTCAAATTTGACATAGTTTCATCATTATTTACGATTTGTAACAGAAAACTCTGTTGATCCGACTTTCATTGGTCGATGGAATCGGTGTATTTGTTAGTAATCGGAGAGAGTACAGAAGGGTTTCGGCGCGCGATGATTCATTCACTCGAGTTCTTGCGGCTCTCGAATCATCGTCGTCGATTCATAATCGGGCGGGCAGGAAGAAAAACCCAAAATCTATGAATCACCGTTCTTCATTAGCATTCAGCCGACACCCGAAGGCTACAGACCAAGCAGGCTCCAATGCTTTTTTTTTTTTGAAGAAGAAGAAACGTTGGAGATGGTGGAACGTGTCAATGCCTTTTGCTTTGCTTTGAAATTCCTCGAACGCATCGATATCTTTTAGTACTTTTAGTGAGTCAGTCAGTACTAGTAGTTCGTATTTGTTATCGCGGTGCAATTAACTAATTGGGGTTTGGAAACAGGAAACAGACGGGCGCGATAAGAAGGGCGCGGCGACGACTGAAACCGACTTCCCTTCCGGAAGCCGCGATACCTTTTCCGCGAACCGGATACAAATTCTGAAATTAAATAATTGTATGCAAGTAGTTACTTGGCAAACATTAATTTGCGCACGACTTTTGATCTATGGCAAATCAATTAAACCAGTAGCATGGATTAAACTGTTTGTGCGAGTGCATGATTACTAAATACCAATCGGACATTTTTATTTAACAGTTCATTAGCGCGATTAGATAAACATTTTTTGGTTTTACATTGCTCACTCATTTCGTGAAAAACCACAAAGTGTTTGCCATACACATATTGAAACACATTTTCGTTTATTTATTATAGGAGCGACCCAACCCAACCCAAAACAGTCAGATATATTTTACAAGTGGATGTCTTGATTAGATATAGGAAACTTGTAATATTTCTAGAAAATATCAAATTGCACAACGGCATCGATCGCATCTGTCAAACTGTCGAGCGATTTGCGCCAATTGGATCCGTCAAATTGCGGTGATGATCTTTGAGCCGGTGTTTTTATCCAAACAAGTGTGCGCCGGTTGGTGGAATCTGGCGATGATAGATTAGGACGAAACTTCTTTTTTTTATATATTTCAATTAATCAAATTGGAATTGGTTTTTTGTTATCTGCGCCGTCATCACTGCCACAACCCGTATGATGATGATGGCATTCCTTCTATTCATTTCACAGGATTTATGTGTGCGTGCACTTTATTGCATTGTACATCGGTACTTTACAGTGGAAACGCGAGGGAGACGCCCTAATTAAATGGAAAAAACAAAACAAGAACGAGCGTTTCGGTGTTCGGGCGCGGCCTGCTCTGACAATTTCATTTCCTTCGAAACCAATCATAAACAATAAACAAACTTTTGCTAATTGTCTAGAAAAGAAAAAGGAGTTCACATAATTCGTGTATAACAGATATTTTAGAGTTTCTGCGGGCGTCATCGTGGCTTTGCTTCTCTCTTTTTAATATATATATATAGTCTACTTTTGGACTACTCGCAAAACGCATGATAGAATTCGCGCAAATAGATTTCCGATTCGTAAATATAACCAAGAGACGAGACGCCGCGCTCTAAATTTAGCTGCATTCAGACTTCAGCTTTCATTCCGCTCTGCATTTTCGCGACTTCTTCGTTCGGGATTTAACATCTTGAACAGTTCTCTGTACGACCAAATGTGAATTCGGTCGAACGTGTATAATCTATGCAGTATGCGATCAGCTTTTCAATTGTTAATTGGTGTCGTTGGCCGCGAATTTGCGGACGCGACACAAAGAAAAAACCAAAGTTTGTAGGTAGGTGCGAAAATTGGTGCACACCGCGCAAAAACGCACGCACTTTAAACAAAATCAATGAATAGAAACAAAAAAAAACCTTCGATCCAAGCTATAATTGTGCAAAGTTTGACCCAAAGAAAATAATTATCAGATCATCAAATGTATCAATCTTGAGGAGAAAAGAAGTTGAAATGTTTATGACGCATTTGACGCAGGAAACGGACTTTGTTTAGTTTGATAGAATCGCCCGATGACTAATTCAAGTTTTCTAATTAATATTATCAATCGAAATGCATCCGATGATAGGAAGAGTTTGAACGAAGCTAATATGCATAGAACTGGACAGGAAATGAAACGCGCTTCGGTTTCCTCTTCGATGATCGTCCGTTTCTTGTCCTTCTTTTGTCCACAACAGCGAACAACAGTGGATGCCTTCTCCACTATTCGGCGCCACCTGATTGAAATGTAAACGACATGTCGACCCCGCACGCAGCAGCCGCCACCATCATAGCAATCACGTGTGCATATAATACCTAACTACATGATGTTTGGATGTGCATAAACGTATGAGAATCGCGGTTAAATGTCAAAATATGGAGATGACGATGAATCACGCGGGAATATTTTATGTAATCCGAATTTGGCGAAAACCGGTTTTCTTTTTTCCTTTCGGAATGGAGCGCTGCTACTTCATAATTGCTATAAGCAAATGAGAACTTCAGCGAAAAAGGAATAGACAGATAACATTAAGCAGATGGTTCAATTGCACAAACAGCCTTCGAGGATACCGCCATGTTTACGCAATATTTTAACAGATGACTTGATTCGACTGAGAACTGTCAGAATGACATCAAGTGTATTTTTACGATTGGCAAACGCACCTCCTTCACTGCACCTTCTCAAATACAAAACAATATTATTAGAAACGTTTGTCTGATTTGTTCAGGTTTTCTGCTCTCCATTTCCTATAAATTATTTATAGACAAAGCGATAATAATAATAATGCGCAAAATTCGACTGGAATTTTAAATTTAGAAAGTAGTCTCGTCATATGTCACTTGTGTTTGTCAGCTTAATGGTAAACGTCAAATATGTTGGAAAGCTTATGTCATAATGGTAAACGTCAAATATGTTGGAAAGCTTATGTCATAAGTCAATCGCAGTGGAATGTTAATATTAATCAAAGGTTTCATTTTTAAATCGGTAGGCGCCGCTCGAAATTGCGTAAAAGCAATTAATATGGCAGTTTGATTTGGTGCAGGTATCTCATTTTTGTTGTTGTTATTTTCGATTTCCATTCAACAGTGCCTTAAAAGGCAAACGAAACGCACTTTCTCTTCTCTCGTTCGACCCAGAGATTCGCACAGATGTGGGCGTCTTGGTCCCGCAGAGGCCCTTCCCGCGTTCGTGGCCCATGACTTTGTCCCTGGAGGGCCCTTTCGCAGAGCGGGTATGCGCTCTGTGGGGCGCAAATTGGTTGTGGACAGGGGCGAACCCGCCCCGGAGCCCAACAGCGATCAGCTGGGAATCGACCAGAAAAGGCTGCGAATGAGAGAGAGAGAGAAACACACACAAACACACACAGACAGACCGAAAGAAGAGAAGAAACGGAGCCAAGGTTGGAACCCCTATATATGGAAAATTGTGAGCGTGCCGAGCGCGCGTTATGCGAACGCGTTTCAATTACATCTCTATGGGAACAAGAACAGGTAATATATATATATATGAAATGAAATAAAAAAGAACATCAATTTTAATAAAAATGTTCTCTTTATATTTAGAGATTGCTCGTGGCGTATTTATAGAACCATAAAAGCGTGTGCAATACACGAGTCGCGAAAAGAAAAACGAAACCCAACTGAACGATTGAAGAGGGTTGGGTTTGGAGGGCGGTGATCTGCTGGATCCTGCTGGAAGCGGACGAGACGTCGCGAATCGATCTCTCGGAAGGCGTCTAGACTTAGGACTAAAGTCATTAAGGGAAAGTGCGGGTCGTAAATCATCTCTCGAAGGATGATAAACAAAAAAGTTGTGCAACTTTCGTCGTTCCCCTTCAAATTGTATTGAATGAATGAATATTTCATATAAAATCTATTTGGGATTTGTGTAACGAGAAACGCGACAGTCGATGGTGTTAACTATGCTCATGCATTAATGATCAAATTGTTATCGAGAATATTCTAAATAGACTTTGCAAGAAAAGGCGAAGTGCAGTTCGAAATTTGGGTTACGAGATTGCCTCTTGCTCCTGCTCCTCGGATAACTTGAAGCGCGAAGAAGCAAAGGAGAAAACAAGTCAGCCAACTATATTGTATTCGCGTTTGTTTTGGTCGTTCGGCCGGGCCGGCCTTCTAGACTCGGGAGGCCTTTCGTCTCTTTTCCTTTTTGATTTATATTCCGGCGTTTTATGAGGTCGTGTGTCTCTCTTCTCTGCTGCTGCTGCTTCGGCTGCTGATGTTGTTGGAATGCGAGCCAGCCGACATTTACCAGAGGGAACAAACACACTCGCATTCGTATACAGGGTCAATGCCACGCCCCGCCCCCGCAACTTGGACAAAAACGCGCCTAAATAAACGACGCCGCCCCTTCACCGCCTAGGGGATGATTGGGTTGGGCTGGGGGGAGGCAACTTTTGGTTTTACCAATTTTCAATTTCGAATAGATTTGCACTTTTAATTATTAAACGTGCAGCAACATACATTACATATTTCAGAATAACAACGAACGTAAATTTGATAACAGAATTCGGGAGTTTAATTATTTTGTGGAAATTCCGGCTTAATAATAATAATAACGATGAGAAATACTCTTCACACGAACTAATAATACCGCGTTATCTTATCAGAAATTACATATTACTACACTAAAATGATTATTAGTTTGGAACGGTTGATATTTGTTCCGAATATTTTGCCGCGGGTTTCATGCAGAATCGTAGCGTTTCATCTTTTTCAACAGATGCAAGAAGAACACGAGCAGAGAAACGAGGAATTCGCGAGCGCGGGCAGTTTTCAATAATGAGGGAACGACGACGTCGGTGAAATAGTTTGGAATTTCGCTGGCGACTGCAAAAACCTGTTAATTATATTCAAACGTTCATTTCTCTCTTTGTCTACCTATGCATGTGTGTGTGTGTGTGTATATGTTTGCAGCACCAGCAGCGCACACTATAAACACCGGCTTATGTGATTTATATACCCGGCGGGTGGGAAAAGAAGCCCAGAATTCTTGTGCTCTCTTTCTCGGTTCTTTTTCTTTTCTCTCTTGCATGACTCTCCTTGGTATTTCTTTCTTATTTTCAAGTGTATATCATGGAATTATATACAGACACACACACACATACACGATGTGTCAGACACGGTGGTATGGCTTGAAGGGGGGAAGGAAATAGTTCGGTGATGAGTAACACGCTCAGGTGATCGCCCGATAACGGGTGGAAAGGATAAAAGGACACGTCCCTCCGAAACCCCCCACGCTTCTACCACAAACATGCCTCTTCGAAAAAGGGAAAGAAGACAGACGAGCAAACACAGAGCAATCCGGATAAAACGCAGATAAACCCCAACTTAATATGACGAAACAGGATACTCTGCGCAGAAGGGGAATTTAGATAGGCAAGGAATTTAAAGTAAATCCTAGAATGCATTCTGTAAGGAACGTTAAAATTGAAGTGTGTAGAACTTCACAGAACGAACATTGTAAAACCAGCGATAAATTGTTCGATCCTAACGGGAAATATGTGTCATATGTATACAATATAAATATTTTAGTTTAAAAGGAACAAATTAAGCACGTCGTCTACGTAAATATTTAATGTATTAATTGTTAGTCATATAAGAGGTCTTAATCATCCAAGGGGAATTAATCATTTGCAAAACGAAGGAAATACCGATGAAAGCGAAAAAAATAATAATAAACAAATAACTCTTTTGTTCGCAGTACAGTAACTATGGTAGCAATAATAATAATAATTCGATTGTCCGTAATCTGCTAACGCATATACCTTGTTACCGATGAAATCATCGGGCGATAATACAGGTCGACTCATTCAAATACTTTACTTTCGATAACATTCATCACATTCTTTCAAATAACCTGTTTCTTCGTGAAATTTATTAATTTGCTTTTACTACCAGCATTATTGATATCTGTAAATTTCTTCTTCTACTACCTACAGAACTTCTTTTTCAAATTTTATTGAATAGTTGAAAATTGTGACATCTGTCAAAACTTTAAAACTATCAATTTTGACGCATGTCATTTTTGATGGGTACGTCTAATTGTATTTTTTATTTTCTAGTAATTGAATCCAATTGGAAATTTTCGATTCGCGTCAAGAAAGGAGAACTTAACCTTGCACGTATGTATATAGACAAATCTGTTTTTTTTTTGTTGCCGTTCCGTTGGTAATTGGCTTTATTCTGATGTCATGTTCTTTGTTTTGTTGTTTTAGGTGCTTGGGCAGAAATAGAAGGTCCCAGGGTGTTGTCGCCCAAAAAGGAGGAGAGGAGAGGCGAGGCGACGATGGAGAGATGTGGATGTAAATGGAAAGAAGCAGAGGGTCAAAAAGCAACTCACGTAGATGAGACTGGAGTAGTATCTGTCCTTGAGGTTGTGCAGGACGCAGGCCTCGTTGAGACAGGTAAGTTCGGCCATGTCCTCGACTTTGTCGAACTTGGGCGGATTCATCTTCTGGATGTCGTCGCGTGCGACCAGCACCCTCTTGCCGGTCTCCTGCAGCTCCAGCTCGATCTCATCGTTGATCTCGCCCTTGATGCTGGCCGCGACGAAGCCCTGGTTCTCGTGGGGTACCCACACGAGCCTCTTCTGGGTCCATTCCGCTTGAGTCGCCGGATCATTGTACAAATTCCTGTCGACACACAGATACTTCAGTTCCGGATCGTAGCGATCCCGCGCCCCTTCCTCGGCCGCCATTTCTCGCGAAATGTTGCACCAGCAATAACAACAACAACAATAGCGGTAAAAGACTCCGATTGAGCCCTCGGCGACGGGAACTGTACGCTTGTTGTATAGGTATCGGCGGCGGCAGACTTTGACGCGCGCGAAACGAAGACGGTAAAAAAAAACAAACGACGGATGATCACACTACGTCCCCCAAAACTGTCTGTCTGTCTCTGTTCTGTTCCCTTGTGCTTTGCTTGTCTCTTTGCCGAGCGGCGACAGTAGTAGAAGAAGAAGAAATCTCCTCCTTCGTCGAAACCGCGCACACACTCGAAACTAGCAGCACACTCGCACTCACACGGACTGAGAGAGAGAGAGTGAGACACACACACACTCCTCAAACCGGAAAAAAATGTATATATCTCTTGCTCTCTACGTTATATATCCCTTCTCCCTCGAAATGCAAACGAGAGAACAACTGAAGCTCGTTGTCAGGGGTGTTGCGATCGTCGAAAAGTGAAGCAAACGGAAACAAAAACAACAACAAAAAAAAAACAAAATCTAGGAAGGCTTGTCTCTAGTTCACGTCACGACCCGGACATCAAGCGGCGGCGAGTGGTGGGCGCTCCTCCGGTATTTTCCCCGCACTTCCTTCCACTGGCAGACACCGCCTATATACTTGATAACGATGAGTGCGATTTTTCTTAGTTACGAGGGGGCCGATCTCAACGGCTTCTCTCTTGCGTATGCGTGTGCTGTATGAGCTTCCCCGAGTGCTTCTGGTACGTGTACTAACTACTCTGTCGGGTCTCTCTCGTCCTCGCTTGCAACGTTGCTGGTCAACTGGTGGCAGCCCCGACGCACGCTCAGTCTAGGTCCCCCTTCAACGCACTCCCACCATAGAACCACACAAAAATGTCCCACCAACTGTCAAAATAGTCTGCAGAGGTGATTTTCGTCGGTAATTAAGTACAAAATCGTACGCAAAGTCCATGCAAACCACTGACCAATCGACCGCCCCTCTTGCACTCTATTTACATAGGCAACATGAGCGTGGACAACTTGCATTTTGACCGTTTTCAAATGGTTCAATTTGCACAGATCGCATTGGAAATGTAACGAATCTAAGGAAAACTATCTGCAGTTAGAGCGTAACATCTTAAATTGCTTTTAAATCAGTGCGGAAGCTTTAAAGCTCTATCGGTTGCCTACATCGTAAGCGACAGGCAGCTGCATTCGAATCGCAAATGTCGGTTGCAATCGCCCCCCTTCGACGATGGCACCGGCCACGCCCTGCCTATCCAAAAAAAATGTCGTAAATTCAAATTAAAACCAACAATCTTTCGATTGAAATTGGATAACGGCAGATTATCTGATAAACATTTTGCAATGCAGTATTTATATTATTTTTATACATTTCCAATGACAAAAACAAAATAACAACATCACCGTTCATTTACCGATAACTAATTACGCAATACATGATAAACGGTTAATTATCATTAATGAACGCGCTCGCTTTAACAGTCAATTTTAACAAGTTCAAATATTTGCAATCTTTAATTAATTATCTTGTGAAATGTTAAGTTTGTATTTTTGTTTCAGCGAATCTTTTGCATTTCTTGCATTTGATATTATCGATGATGATGATTTGAAAGTTAAATGGAACGGAGATGTTATCGGTGAGGCCAAAAGGAGAGGACCACATGGTCGGTCGAAAGAGACGCACGGGCGGAAACGGCGCCATCTCGCGTCTCATTTCGGCGGCGGCGTCGCTGAGGGTGCGTCCCGCGGGCCAACGGGAGCCCGCCCTCGACGGTATTCTGCCCTTTTTCGATCAGATGGTCGACCCAGCTTCCAAATGAAACGCTCCGCAATGTGGAACGCGAGCGCGCACATGATTCATCATGGAGAGCGCGCGCCTCTCTCACTTTCAAAAAATATTTGCCCATTTATGGTCAAATCGGCTCCGGCGGCCGCCGCTCGTGATGCAACGCGAAAAGAAATTGTGCGCACAAATATGGAAAAATAAAAAAAATAAAAAAGGGGGACAGCTGACCGGCGATTTGCACGCATCCGACGAAGAGCCAGACACCATTCGCATCCGAAAATGGAGACAAGCACAATTTCGCAAACGCCGTTTCGTACGCATACTACATACACGCCGTTCCTTTTTTTCCTTCGATTTAAATTTATTTACACCATAAATCGTTGTTTTAAGTGCGCATTGCGACACCTCCGTTGCTAATTAGTCATCGGCCGTTGTATAAACAAAAACATTGATCGGTTAACAAATGAAACCAAACAAAATGCAATTGTTTGTACGAAACCAAATCCGCGGGATGATGATTATTCATTCGTTTGTTTATTGCAATCGGATAGAACGCGAGCGTCGTTTCCTTAATTCGATCGGTCCCTATTTTAATCAGCAGCCGATTGGACTTTGCAATTGGATTATTATTTTTATATCGCCGTTGTTTTCGATTAGATTAGCAATTACTCACTTTCAACGATAAATGGGTTAGGTTGAATCATCTCAGCTTACCCATCGTCGTCATCATCCACGGACGATCCAAACTCTTGGTCATCGTTACCGTTCGGCAACTTCTGTTCTTTGGCGTGATGGATGGAATTCAGCACCGAATCTCTGAATTTCGAAACCTTCGAGTTCTGCGCTCTCGCCACCAGCAGCTCTTTAATACGATTGACACTGACATTAGACAGTTCATCCATCTTCTGCCCTTATCATCATCATCATCCCCATGGAAACAGTAGAAATAAAAGAGAGACGAAAGCTAAAAACAATTGAGTTGATGAGAAGGTGGGGGGGTTTTTACGAATTGAAACACAGGGCCGCTTCAACGATCAAATATTTAAAAACCTTTCTCAATTTCCTTAAAAAATACAATCTAATAAATTAACGTAACGGATATTTCATTAACGAACGGTAACGCACCGTTCTCTTTCTCATGTTATTTTCAATATTTTATTAACAAACAACCCTCAACGGTTCATATATTAAAAATAGTCTTTTTTGTTGTTGTTGTTGATGATTAAACCGTTTCGACGGCGCCCTTTTTGCGTGTGGGCGTGGCGCTTCCGTTTTCGGCGATGAAGGAGGTCTCCTCGCTGGTGATGGAGGCAACGTCGGGCGTCTTCGGTCCGGATTCGCTGGACGTAGATACGGTCGGTAAGGCGACGACGCTGACGGTGGGCGGTTCCATGGGTCTTGGGGTTAGAGGACGCGGCACCTTCGGGCTCATATCGATGAGCGTCGTCGCGGATGATGACGGCGGTGCCTTTTTGATCAGTTCCAATGGAATCTCTTCGGAGCGAGGCCGCGGCATCCTCGGACTACCCTCACGGGATTTGCTACCGCCCCTCGAAGCTACAAACAAATAAACATATACATCACCAAGAAAAAGATTATCCGTCAATAATTACTGGAATGCTCTCGGGATTTCGGCGTGGCGCCTGTATCTTTTTTGGCGTTCGACATTGCGACTCTGCTGGGACTCTCGTGGTCCCTCCGGCGTCTGTCCGCGTCGATGCGATGGACGACGCCGGTGGTGCAGTCGCGTCGCGGCGCCGCGAATCCGGGTACGCGACCCGTTTGGAAGAGGGGGCGGTTCTCCCTCGAACCACGACCGCGATTCGTGTAGATTCCAGCACCGACGTACGCCGGACTAGGCGGTCCCGACTGCCCAGGAATATCCAAAAGTCTTGCGATGTGCTGCATCTTCTTTTGTCGCGCCTTGATCCGCCCTTTGGTGAGTCTCTGTTTGGCCGCCATGCAGCGGATGTTGTCGTCGAAGCTGAACTTGGCCGAGAGCTGCGGCACCCGATTGGCTGTGCTGTTGCTGAGTGGGCGGTGTATAGTGATATGTAAGCAACGGGAATCGTCCTTGTCGCCGGTGACCTCGATGTCCTGCAGGAAGCCGACCAATTTGGCCACACCCCAGCCCAACCTCTTCGTGTCCGGTTCAACCAATATCAGCTGCAGTATATCTATGACCAAGAACCTTCTAATCTTCTGTCCATCTTTCAGGGCCACCGTGCACGCAATCAGATCAGAGTTATCTGGAACAGGAGGAGGAAAAACGTAAAACGGGAATTAGTTTTGCCTTCGTCCGTCCGCAAATCACCGCAGAATCAAACGTCCTTTAGGCAGCCAGCGAAACATGCAAGTCACAGAAAAAAGTAAATGAAAAATAAAATAATCGAGAATAAATTTGAATTGGGCCTAAAGGACTCGAACTCTTGCGGCAGGGACACACAACGAGCTATACTCAGGTCCAAGGCTTGATCGATCTGCACGCAGCTCTGCGGATTCGTCAAAGGCAGTTGCGTTTCCAGCTCTCCATTCAACATCAGCACCGTCTCGCGGACCAAGAAGAACACGCGTATTGCCCTCTTTGCTCTCTCAACCTATTAAAAAGAAAAAACACACATATATATTAGCATATACGCATAAGAAAACAGAGAGAACGCACCTCGCCGCAGGGTAATCTCTTGGTAAAATCAATTCCAGTGAGTGGTGTTCCGGTTGGAGGCAGCAGAATTGCACTGTCCATGCACAGCCATTCCACGTTCAGAGATGCTTTGGACATGTCGCAATACCTGCGGAAACAATCGAAGAAGAATTTTAACCCCCCGCCAAAAAAAAAATGAAAGTATGTAAAAGAAAGAGTCGAACGAAAAAAAAAAGAAAATAACAACACAAAAATAAGATATGTATATAGTTCAGAAGGAGGACGATTCGGAACTGCTGCAGAACGAGGATCGTGACCAGTTGTTCAATGAGACGCAGCTCGAAGAACTCGACGACTCGGCTAAAATCTCCCTTGAATCAGAGCTGATGGGTTTGCTTAAATCTTCGGGCGCGCGCAAAAGACTTACTCATGTTCGAACATGTCCAGGAAAATCTCCTCGGATTTGTAAAAGTTGCGGAGGAAGGCGGTGCTCTGTGAACGGGCGCTCTCGATCGAGGCTCTGTGCGATTCTGCAAGGATGTTTTTCCCGTCGCACATGACCAACTGCGCCAGCAACTTCAGGCCCAGCTCCAATGTCACCAAACGGACGCGGCACGCGGGCTGACACGATAGGAGAACTATGTGCAAGATGCGATCCACGATGGAATTGCTGTAAGAATATTTTATGTCCTTCGATGCGACCACCGACTTCTTCGGTCTCAGCACGTGCTCGATAAGATCGGGCGTGACACCTTGAAATGAACAATCCATCATCGTTAATATTGTTATGCTTCTATATAGCAATTTGTTACCTTTGTTGTTTGCCATCGCGTAAAGTAGACTGAGAGCGAATAGGGCTGCATAATCGTTTTCGACGCAATCCAATGCGTTGAAGACGATCTCTAAGAAGGGTTTCTCGCAGATGGAGCAATCGCCTGGTGTCGTTGCCATCCGCTGCTTCTCCTCATCGGTGACGTTCGTGCAATCGACCTCTTCGACGTCCGACGAGGAGGCTACATCGTTTTGGGATGTGGCACCGCGGATCTCGGTCTCGTAGTGCTCCAGTAACTTGTCTACGCCTTTCACGAACGTGCTTCTATCCGTTTTCAGGATGATCCAGGCCAACGTCTGGATGAGTGGCGGATGCGATATGATCAGAAATACCTGAGATAGGAGGAAGAGCGCAACGACGCAGCTGACTTTTCCATTGGTCAGCGGTTCGAGGCGTGGCGAGGAGGTGGGCGTTCCCTCGACTACTCGTCGCACGGACGTCGTCGGTGGCGGCGAGCAGAGCGAGTAAATGTACAACGGGATGAGCAGCTTGTGCAGTAGATGATCGGTGAGCACTTGATTCAAATCGGTGATATTTAAACAGAGGATATCGTTGAGGTAATGCAGATGGTCCAGATGCTCGGCCACCAAATCGGCAAGTCGATTTTGACTCAGATGACTGCAAAAACAAAACAAAAATTATTTCCTACAATCCAAAAGCATTAACAAAGTGAACGTACTCTGCATCGTTCCTAACGCACGCGTCCAACTCTTGGATATGTTTCCCTATGAACCAGACAATGTTGGAGAAGTACGGGGCCGCCGTTCTGTCCCGTATGAAACCCAGCATACTGGCATCTTCCACTTTGTACACGTTCAGTGTCAACGTCCTCACCGCTATCCTCACCATCGACTCCGGATGATTGAAGAACTTTATTGCTTCCGTATACAATGGAAAGTCGTTCGTATGCTACGAAACAGAGAACAATGTAAATATCATCGTTGTTGCGTTGTGCATCCGCAATTTTACCTCATTATAGAAGAAGTGTATCGTGTGAGCATTCAACTTCAAACTGAGCGTCTTCAGGAAACTTATGTAGTAGGCCATGACCTCCTCGTCGGAGAAATCGAATTTGTGTACGATGATCGAATTCACGTGATTATTTGATAATAAGTAATCTGGAAGAAAGAATGATTATGTATTGTCATTAATGCATTCTCGAATTTGGATCAACTTACACAATGAGGTTTCATTCCTGATATTTTCAAATAGAATGTTCAATGTCTGCAATAGCTGCACGCACACGAAGCTGGAGCCGCCGCTGCGTTGTCTCATGATACGGAGGAAAAATGATAACATATTCTTCTCCAAGAAGAAACTGAAAGCAACAAATTTATAGCTTTTTATTGTTTTCTAGGATCAAACAATGTATTTACTCGAATACTGATGAATCATTCTGGTCACCCCAGATGAGGATCTCCGCTATGGACCTGAGCGATTCAACCAGAAGTCCCCGATTGTGCTCAGAGACAGTCTGATTCCTGGACAGGACATTGTACAGGTACTTGAGGTGCTCCAACGAATGGGGATTCTTTGGCCTGCCCCAGCCACCGCCGAACCAACTTCTGCTCCTAAACATTTTCGTTACTCCCACCCTTATTCTCAGCACGACATCGTTTCTATCGTTAGATTTGATTCGATTTCTCTATTTTTACTGCATTTCACCATCACCAAAACAATAATAACCTCTATTTGCTCACTGACAGCGCTCTCCTTTCTTCACCCCACCAAAAACAAATTGCAACCACTGCTGTCAGAACGATGCGAGTTGGAGCGAGCGCACAGCCGTGGCGCACCGATCGAATCGTATAAAAACACACAAACACAAATCAGCTGTTCCGAAAAACAAAAGTTCATCAACTTTCCCCCAAGAGAAATTCAAAAATTATTAATTATTTCTTCACATTTTCTGACTTCTCAAAATGTAAACGTCAACAACAATAACAGAAATGTTGCAAATCGATGTAGTCAATCGCGATGTGTTTATAATCCGCGAGATGGCGCATCGAAATTGCATTCATTTATTTTTAAATTCAAAAATTGTTGACAGTTTCAACAATTAGTTTTTTTATTTTGTTTCAACGTTAGGAAACTCGTGTCTTATTAGGATAGAATTAAGGTAAGAAATTACATTTCATTGCGTGCGTGAATTTGTAAATTTCGTTTGATTGTCAAAATATCATTGGTTGTAAACATAACCGCACTTTTTTGTGCGTATTTCTGTTCGTGATAATATTATTATTATGGGTGCGACGGAGGAGATTTCGAAGAATGCCGGTCCCCACGGACTCGGTGAGTGTTTTGTTGCTCATTGAAATCGTTTGTTGTGTAATGGGGAAGTGTTTCAGGTGATCCGAACGATACGTCGCTGAGGAAGGTCGAGATAGAGGTTATGATCCCAAAGAAGATGAGGGACATCGCCAAGGTGGAGAAGTGCACGAAGGAGGTGGAGGAGTTCACCAAGTGCTGCAGAGACAGCAACATATTGATGGCGTTCACGTGCCGCGACCAGAACAGCGCCCTGAAGAGTTGCCTCGGGAAGTGGTATAACAATGAGGAGTTCAAGGAGCGTTGCAAGAAGGAGTACCTGGCGGAGAGGAGCGAATACCGGAGGACTGGGGTGACGCTGAAGCAGAAGCAGAAACTGCAGACGTCCGGATTCTGAGAGAGGTCTTATTTATTATGAGTAATAAGTGTAGATACGTTTATTAATTATGCCAAAATATAGTAGAATATATAATAAATGAAGTGTGCGTGCGTGCATTCTTCGTACGTTCAGAAGGAGTAGTCCTCGTTTATTTGGAAGCTGAGCGGCAGCAGTTCGGAGACGCTGGTGACTAGGACGTCGCGGAGATCGGGTTTGGCGAGGAAGACTGGAGCGTCGCCGAATTCGCTCATGAATTGCCTGCAGAGGCCGCACGGCGTCGTGAAGTGTTTCTCCTGTTGAGCGACGATCGCCACCGATCGCATCTGCCGTCTTCCATCGCTGATCGCCTTCACGTAGGCGCACCTCTCGGCGCAGATGCCCACCGGGTAAGAGGCGTTCTCCACGTTGCAGCCGCCGTACAGGGTGCCGTCCACGCACTCCACGCACGCCCCCACCTTGAAGTTGCTGTACGGACTGTAGGAAGCTGTGCGCGCCTTCACCGCCTCCTGCAGCAGCCGCTGTATCCGCTCATCTGCAACCACATTCGCACAGCAGCGATAACGAGTGTTGCCCGCAATTGTTCAATTCTTACCGAGCGTTTCAAACTTGACGATCCTCGGAGGGTCGTCGCTTCTTTGCTTCTTTGACTCCATCACCTTGGAGGAAGTAGTTCCGTTGTTGTTATTGCCGTTGGTTTCCATCGCGGTTTCTTTCTGCCTTGACGGACGATCAAGTCGACAGACACGTAGCTGCTAACTCGAATTAATCAATAATATCCGCTCATTCTTATATACAGTATCCGTAAAGATACGACCTACGCTTTTCCCCTTTCTTTGTTCACTCCCATTCAAATATTCAATCAGATATAAATTTGCGATATTATTATGGATTATTTCTATATAATTGCAGCAAATTCACCTGCATTCATCGATTAAATTTTATCGCGTTATATTATTGTATTATTGTTACTGTCTCTGTTCCTCACGAAATTCTCAATGTATCATCGCACAAAGTCGTAAACAAAGCTTTCTATTTTTTTTTTGCTCGATTTCTATTTCATTCGATAGTTTCGTTTCGTTACGGTTATTTCGAACGCGATTGCTCAACTAAGTCGCGCGCGCGTGTCGTCGTCTTCTTCGCAGTTATTAGTTGCTACACACAACAAGTTCTCGCTCTTTCCATTCTTATTAGTCTACCTGGTATTACGTAATTTACCTGACAACAAACTGCAACTGCGCTCTCCGCGATTGTTGTTTTTTTTTCTCTCCTACACAAACACACAAAACCAACACAATTATGGACTCGATGTTTTTCCAAATCGAATCTATTGATAAATTCCGATAAAATATGCAATACTGCAAAAAAAAAATGTATCGTAATTTGCACGATGAATTTTCGGTGCGCTCAATATATGTTTTGATAAATGGAGCGTGTTCACAGATGTCGCGTCTCGTTTGAATTCAAAAATAGTTGGAGTGAACGTTCACAGAGTGCGCAGACGGAGTATTTTCAGGGCGTGTTAATTAGGGGCGTGGTTGTAAAATCAAATCACATGCTCAAATCAAGACACAGCTGGTTTTAATCTAAAACTAGATGTCTGGGATGTTTATTGAAATAACTATTATTTCTATTAGACTATTTATTTTGTCAACGAGAGACATAAATCAATTAAAATACTATTACAAGTGTGAGCGCGTAAAAGTTTTCTTACTTTATTTCTACTCACTAAAAACAAAAACGAAACGAAATATTCTCTAGACGAATCAACAACGAATCAATTACAAATAATATTATTATTATTATAATCCATATATCATCTTTTGATACATTGTGTGTATATATTATATTATATATATATTTACATAAAATTAATTGATCAAAAACTATACCACACGGTTTAGTTTCCAACGGAATGTGATATTGTTTCCATTCGCTTTATGTACAATAATAAGGATAAGAATTAGTACGCTCGATAAACTAATGTAAAACGGATGCATATACTTTTTTGTTTTGCTGTTTGTTTTCTTTGCGCAAGCATTGAAAGCACTTTTAGGCCTTTCCGGAGATGGACATGTTGCCCGGCTTCGCATCGCTGTGATCCTTCTCCAGCTGTCTGCCCAGATACTCCCAATTGTGAACCATCAACTTCTGCACGGCCAACAGAGCCTCGTACCTGAAAACGAACGCAAAAGCAAACAAATTATTCGATAACCTTGCTTGAAGGTGGCAAATCACTTAGCGACATCATTATCACTTAGCGCTATTCGCGTCACCGCTACAATAATCACCTGACGTTAGGATCCTCGTGGGCGAGGAGTTGCATGACCAGCTGTTTTCCGCCCAACTGCTCGATCACGCTGAAAATAGAAGAAAAATTAATATCATTCATTACATTCGTCATGCTCAATTACTGTTTTCCCCTGGGGTAGTGGCGCACGTATTCGCCGATATCGAAGCTGGCAACGGAGAGCACCAAGGGGTCCTTGCTGGTCTCCAGCAGATGGATAAGGATCCTCAGCAACTCAAAGTTCTTCTCGTTGAGACGCTGAGCGTTCTCGCGCCAGAACTTGCTCTTGTGCACGGGCGACCATTCCAACCTTCCCGACTTGACCTGCAGAAATCAATTCCCTTTATCGATCCGTATCATGCAACGAGTGTTATCTTACCTCGGTGGCGTACTCGTCGAAGCTGCTGAGATCCTGCACGGATGATTGCAGTTTCTCGGTGAGGAAGAGAACGTCTGCGGACACGTCCTCATCGTCGAACTTCCTCTGCTCGAGGATGGCGAGCTGCTTAAGAACTTTGCACTGTACCATCGCGATGCAGTGCTCCTTGGACACCTGACCGTCCTCGGGCTTCTCGATGAGATTACGGAAGACGGCCAGGATGATCCTCGTCACCTTCTCCTTGACCGAATCGCTGAGGATGTCGGCGAGGATCGGAATGACGTTGAACTTGTTCATCTTCTCGGCCAGCAGCGGGTTGAAGGTCAGCACCCACAGGCAGAAGATCAGCTGATACTGCACCTGGAAGTTGACGCGGCCGGAGAGGACGGACAGCAGGGTGGAGATGCCGTCCACGGAGACGAACGCGAAGCGATAGTCGTCGATGCGCAGCATCATCTGCAGACATCTGGCCACCGATTGGATGTACTCGTTGTTCTGCACGTCGAAAATCATTTTTAAAAAAAATATATATATAAATATTAATTAATGAAACTCTCCCGGATTAGCAATTATATAGTGATAAAAAGCAGTCGCGCAAACGTATTTTCTTCATAACAACAACAACAAAAAAACCCATTCATCATGCAATTAGGTGCATGCTCATGCAATAATTACTACATCTATGTACAATAATAATACGACTATATATATATATGAACACTACAAACTAGGTGGCTGGCTACGATCTAATTAATGAGAATTCAAAAAAAATAATAACTATAAATTTGGAAGGTGTGTTTGTTTGTTTCTGTGTTTTGTTTGTTTGCTACTACCGAGAGTTCAGTTTCGCCCCTTTGGTCGTCGATGCTGAAAGACACTTCAGTGTAGAGCTCCAGGGGTTCGCCTTTGGAGAAGTCTCCGCGGATGTCATAGATAGCCTTCAGCTCGTCGTACTAAAAATTGGAGTTGTGATCGAAGACGAGGAGAAACGATAAAAAAAAAAGAAAGAGAGACAGAGAGAAAAACATTATCAACATGTTGGTTTGCAAATAATAATCTTATACAGAAGATTCGCACAAGGAGAGCTGTGGAAGAGATGATTGAAAATAATAATAATATAGAGAAGACAGTTCCTTCTTACCACACACCTTTACCAAAAGAGAGAGATATAGAAATGGGGAAAGGAGAAACAAGAATAAGAGAACAACGTTAATTGTTAGTTCTAATGAATAGAATAGATTCCAGCAGAAAGGTTTTGCCTCCACTGTTAAAAACACAAACATCGCGCTGTTCAAATTTTGTAGTTACAACTATCTATAGGGAATAATAAACCATCGAATTTCTTGCATAGAGAAATCGGTTATAAATTAATAAGCATAGCGTGCGTATCTACAAATATGACAATTTTGAAACTATAATGTTAAGCTTATTTACTTGCTGGTGCATAATTACAAAGTGATTTCTGTAAGCGACTAATCTAATATCCAATTATTGTATGTACAATGCAGCCCAGCGATTGATCGCTTTGAAGCAAGCGAAGACCTAAAACTATCTAACCGAAAGAAGCTTCAAGTGCAAAGCGATACGATAATATCTTTGAATGCGTAAATACCTGCATCTTGAGCTGATCTTTGAGCCAGGTCAAGTAGAAGTGCAGGTCGGAGCGTTCCATGGGCGTTTGGGCCCAGCAAGCGATCTTCGCGATGATCCTCGAGGTCATGTTGGTGATGAAACCGTCCTGACGGTTCAACAGATTCAGGAACGGACCCCAAACCGACTCCTTGTTCTTGGTGGCGTACTCGTGGAAGAGTTCAACGCGGGTGCGATCCTCCTGCAATTATTTATAATCAATAATCGCATTCCAATTCAGGAATTGAATATCAATTACCTGGATCATATCGTCGACGAGGACCAGGATGTATTGCAACGTTTGGTCCTTGGAGACGTGACCGAGCAGGTTGAGGAAGGTCTTGGCGCATTGCAGCTTGTCGGATTTCAGGAGGTGTTCCCTCTGCGAATTATCAGTGGTGTCAAAGGCCACGATGAATTTGTAGTCCTCCTGGGAGATCATCTGCGATCTGTGGAAATAGGAGATTGTAGAGAGTACGTTTGCGATTGTGCAATTTAAATGGATACTCACTGGAGGTAGCTCTGCCAGTTGACATGCTGGGATCGGATGTCTGTGGCCCTCTGCTGGAGCACACTGGTTGCAGCGAGCATATCTGAAATGGCCCACATAGTTTTGCTCTTGTACTTGTACTGCACACTCGAGGTGATCTAACAGTGGCAAATTGTAATTTTCCACTCTGTTGTGATTACAAATTTATTCTTGCACACATACAAATAGATGCGTACAGAACACGTATGTGCGTGCGTGCGTGTGTGTGTGTATGTGAATAATTTTGTTTCAGGGTAGCCACTGTAGCAGCGGTTGCGTGCGACTTACATTTGGAGTCACGTGAGGCGCGCGTGAAGACGGCGAAAACTATATTATTTCCACTGAAATTGTTATAAATAGAACGCGCCGGACGCGTCAAAAAGTTGGGCAAAAGTTTCGAACGAAACAAACGAGCGACAGACAGAAAAAAAATTAAACAAAAGAGAAGCGCACAGCAGAGCCGTCTCCTGCAAATTTTCAGGGATGGGCCCCCACCCCGAAACCTATACGTACGAATTCCGATTCGATCCCGATTCCTATAAGAAAACTGCTTCTTTTACCGATTTTATCGTCGTCCAACGATGTCATGATCTCCTTCAGTTTGGGATCCTGGGCCATCTTCGACGATTCGCAACTTTTTTTTTTCGTATAGTTTGAACACCCTCAGCAAGACCTACTTTCGCAATGCGCGTGAAGGCGGCCAGCAACATAAAACAACTGAACAGCAGGTAGATGATCAGCTGACTGCGGCGGCGGCGAGTCTTGTGATCTCAATTACTGTTTGTTCATCGAACCGCCGATGCAATTCCATCTAGATGTCACCAGCGGCGCAGACCTATTTTTAGATTACCTCAATATATGGAATTTCTCTTGGTTGCCTATCGTAAGCCATACATTCTATTCGGATTGCACAGATGGCGCCATAGTACCAGCAAGAAAAAAGAAGAACGAAGATACGCAGTCAATGTTTCTCGATATTTCAATACGTTTCATTCGAGAATGCAACGTGGAATGTTCAAAGAAGAAATATCTGAATCTACATTTCAACTTGCAGAATAATCGATAATGAAGAACAAGCTGGTAATTAATGTTTTCTGTAATGTAACTTGGACTTGAATTGTAATTGTAGGTTACTGTCAAAAAAGTGAACATCGATGGTTGCCTAACTGTAATTAGCTAATTGACATTTCAACGAGATGCTTGTAAACTGAAGACCATAACATCCAGGTGATAACAATTAGACAATTAAATCTTAATTTGACGAGGTAAGAACACTTTACGTTATATCATAATGGTCTAGTCTCATACATCGAATCACGTGAATTCCATAGAACTATGTAAACATTGAGGATATATGCAACCCAATTTCTCTATTAATACATTTGAATTGAATTGCAGATGGACTCTAGGAAGAAGAAACGCTTCCAGAAGTCGTTGAACGTGTGCACGGCTTTACCAGCTGCAGGACGTTGTTACGTTGGACATTTTGATGGGTTCAGGGTGACCGTCGACGATGGTTCCGAGTTGAATCGGTGCGGCGGATTCGGCAAAGCGAATCTCTCACGGAATTTCCCCAACTACCGTGACGGCATCCTCCGCGAGAGGCAGTTCTCGGGACGAAAGTTGGCGCTGGGATGCGAGCAGAAACCGCAAAAGGTCTTGGTGGTTCCAGACAGCGATGCGGAGGATGCGGACTACCTGTCGGAGGTGAAGTGCAGGTACGAGCTGGACAGGAGCGGATTTCGCGAGGTCGTGTGTCTCGGATTGGAGGAATCGTATTTCCTTGCCAAGGATCTGGGTTGCTTGAAGGTGTACGAGGATGGCTCAGAATTGGATGCAGCCGGAATGTGGACGAAGTTCCGCGAAACCGACGTCGATTTCGCGCAGAACTACGCGGTTTACAAGTACTATCGGTCGAGGAATTGGGTGGTCAAAGCGGGTAGCAAATTCGGTGGAGATTTCGGTAACGTATTACGTATATTTTGTCTTCAGATTGATTATTTCTTTTGTTTGGAAATCGTCCAGTGCTGTATCAGGAGGGGCCGGAAACCCATCACGCGGCATTTGTCGTGATCATCGACGTTTTGGACGAGAAATTCGAAAGGGCGCATCACCTTTGCCGAAGATCGATGAGCATGAAAGACCTTTTGGGATTGAATAGATTGTGCGAAACCGCCGCAAAGGTAATTATTTTAATTACATTCAGAATGTATTATTTATGGTTTGTTTGTTTTTAAGGAATTACTAATTTGCCAGTTAATTTGGCCTTCGTCGATTGAGGAATTGCGTGACGACAACGTGGACAGCCTCACCGTCAGGGAAGTGCTAATGAAGCGGTGGGTTCCAGTTTCGAACGATTAACAACAACAAAAAAAAAACGGTTCGTTTTCGTTGTTAATAGCCGTTGCCTTGAAACAAATGCGATCTTTGACATCTGAGAACTGTCGAGAGAGCGCTCGTTTGTTTTTCGTTTCAAGATTAGTTAATACACATAGACATACACGCACGCACTCAGAGTTAATTGAAAGCGTCGAGACTTTTCCATTATTATTATTACGTTTTTGTTTCTTCTTGTATTTCATCCAGTTCGCTTCCTCTTGCGCGCACATACGTTTCACGATGTGTGTGTGTGTCATGTGATTGCGGCGTCGCGTGCGAGACAAAAGATGCGCGCATTTCGGACGTCGGAAAGAGACGCCCGGATGTAGGCGTCGGCACCATCGCCAACCGTCACCAACCACCCGAACCCCCCTCATCCATCCCCACCGACGGACGTGCAAAGACAACGCAACGCACTTCTCCCCCTCCATTACCACCACCACCACCAACCAACGACCATCAAGAGTTTTCCGCACAGCAGCAGCAGCAGCTGTCAGTTTGGCTGTGACAGGGAGGACGACGTCGTGTGTTAATGTAACATGTGCGTGTCGCGAATCTTTCCAATCGCTTCGCCGCTATCATGAAAATCGATCTCAAGGTTCGTAACAATAAACAACAACAACATCATTGTAACTACACATATAATACGTGAGCGACGACAACACGCACACAATTAGCCCCCTTCACTAAAGCGAAACATGTTAAGTCGTCAAGTTCTTCGGTTTTGAGGTTATGAGTGGACAGGGCAGATGTGCCCCCAGAAGGGGAGAGAAAACAACAAATCAATACGCGCGCTCCTCATTGATATGCCTCGATTTCGAGAAACCTCACGCATCAATATGTACATAAACAAAAGCAAAATGAAAGGTTGAATGCGTCGCGACTTAATTAGTAATAATTGCTTTCGCTAATCACTTTACAGAATAATAGTTAAAGTGTGCTCTGCAGACTCGTTAAATATCGATTCAATCTATCAATATTAACTTTTGCACCATGACGATACGAAATGGAAAGTATCCATTGAAATTTACATGTTGTTACGTCTTCAGTCCAAATATTAAGATTAAATCGCCTGATTACGCGTTTCCTACCAACGAGACTTGACGTTGCTAACGCAGTTTGCATTTGTTTATCGTTAAAATCGAGAACAAAGGCCATTCGATCGTCGCATTGGACGTGCATCAAATAGTTTATATTCATTATTATTATTTGTTTTTTTTAATAACACACGATTATTCGCGCGTGTTTGCAGATGGAAAGCGATTGTCGCTACTGCAAATGTTTGATGTTTGTTCGTAAGTAAATATTTGAACGTGTAATAAATTTTGCGTTGTGTCGCGTCTCGTAAGCGTACGATTGAGATTTATTACGAGCAATCGCGTGGGCCGAATTACTCAATTATTATTTTGATTATTATTATTATTCCCATGGTAACGTTCACTATGCGAATTCGCAAATGTACGAGAACGATAATGTTCATTGACATTTCCATTGGTTACAACAATAAATAAGTTTCTGGTTGGCCTAGAAAAGTCGTTCGGACTTATTTTTTGTTTAATCGTTGCTACGAGTCAACGATCTGTTTGGTAACAACAGCGGCGTTCGTTTCTTTCTAGTTTTATTGCACTTGAAGAGTGAAAGTCGATCGGCCTTTGTGAAAACGCTCTGTTATTCAGCCGGGAGAAACGTCGGGTCTCGAGACTTTACTAATTTGCAAACGGGAGTTTTCGGACTTTGTATTATCAGAATTATAATTGTTTATCTTTGTTTGTTTATATTTATCTCGAATAACACTTGTTCAGCATATACATTTCATCTATGTAAAAATAATAATGTTGTAAGTCATTTAATCGAATCGAACAGAACAGAACTGATGACCTTTTCACTCCAATTTAGGATTGCCTTTTTGTAACAGAACGAATTATAAAAGAACAAAAAGAAAATAAATGAAAAGAGCGATTGATCCGTTTCCAATTAGAAATGATAGGCGGTAGTCAATTCGAGTAAAAGTTACGTCTGACAATTTGAATGTCATCTTGACATCTTTCGATAATGAATTGGTGCTGTGTGTGTTGTTGATATTGAGTATTAGTAGTAGTAGTTGGCATTTGGTGGTGGTGGTGGTAGTAATTGGAGCTGCTGCGTTTCGTGCGCGCTTCCATCCGCCTCTCCAACTTTAACATTTAACGTAGTCATAATCATCATATTGTATATTTGTTTTGGTAGCAGTGGTTGGGCCGGTGCGGTTCCAGGTGATGCCCTGAGTTATGCTCCCCAATTCCGTCACATCGAAGGGGCTCGTCTTCGTCGTGGCCCTCGTCTTCTGCTTGCTGTTCTTTTACAACGCCATCGAGGATAAGCGAGGCGAGAGCGCGTTTGCCTTCAACATCACCAGGTAATAATTAAAACTAATTGTTGTTAGTTATTCATTCATTTTTGTTGTTTTAGGAATGTTGTTCGATTGGAGCAGATCCACAGTCCGCTGCTAAAATCGCTTCTGAAGACGGGTAGCAGCAGCAGCAGCAGCAACGGTGGCGTTGGTAGGGTGAGGGTGAGCAGCAACAGATCGGTGGCTGTGGATTATAAGAACTCGTCGAGCACGACCACCACCACAACAGCTCTTCTGTACTATTCGAGCAGCAGTAGTACGGTCAGCAGCACGTCATCAGTTGAAGCAGCCACCGTCGAAGCTGGAAACGCAACGGACGGAGTGGTGGTGTGCTCGGAGAATCCGCCGAATCTGGGCACCTCGGTGAAGGTGTCCAAGTATCCGGTCCCATCGATCTATCAGCTGGAGCACAGGTTCAGCTGGTTGCAGCCGGGCGGTCATTGGGCGCCGGACGATTGCAAGGTTCTGAAGAGGGTGGCGCTGATCGTACCGTTTCGATGCAGGGCCGAGCATCTGCTGCTCTTCCTCCAGCACATGCATCCGTTCCTCAGGAAGCAGCAGATCGATTACACCATCTTCATCGTCGAGCAGGATGGGAGCGGCCCGTTCAATCGAGCCTCGCTCATGAACGTCGGCTTCAAGGAGGCCCTTAAGATCGCACCGTTCGACTGCTTCATCTTCCACGACATCGACCTTCTGCCCGAGGACGAGCGCAATCTGTACACCTGTCCCGAGTACCCGAGACACATGAGCGTCGCCATAGACAGCTTTCAATACAAGTAAGAATTACTATTTTTTTTTTCTATTTAAATGTATAATTTAAATGTTCTTTTTTTTGTACAGATTGCCTTACACGACTATTTTCGGCGGCGTCTCGGCCATCACCCGCGAACACTTCGAGCTTCTCAACGGTTTCTCGAATTCGTTCTGGGGTTGGGGCGGCGAGGACGACGACATGGCCAACCGACTGAAGCATCACAACCTCTTCATTTCGCGCTACCCCATCGCCATAGCCCGCTACACCATGCTCACGCACAAGAAGGAAAAACCGAATCCGAACAGGTGAATTTATACTTTATTAAATAGTAAATAGTAACGATCATAGAAATAGAAAAGAAAGATCTTCGGATTTTGCTTCTTCACCAAATCCATTGGGCGTTCTTGTTGCGCATGCCGCGTTTTCCGCTCTTCTTCGTCTCATCCACTATGCCGTCTCCTGTTAACGGATTCCTCGGAATGTTGCTCAGCGATTGCGTCGGCTTCAACCTGACCCCCGTCTTTTCGACCTCATCGTCGTCGTCCTCTTCCTCCCCGGATCTGGTCGGCTCTCCGAGCGCGCCTTTCTCTTCCTCCTCCTCGTCGTCACCGTGGACGTCGCCACGGGCGTGATACATCTGCGGCTCTTGGTCCGGGTGCGGTGGTGGTCCCATCGCCGCCTCCCTGCGCTTCTTCAGCGTCTCCTCGGACGCGTTTCCCATGCATCCGCTCGGAAAGACGCTGCTGTTCGTCTCCGCTCTCCTGTTGATGCGGAACGACGGTGATCCGCCTATGGAGAAGATCTGATTCGCTTCACCCCTCGCGGCGTCCGCCAGATTGAAGATATCGCTGCTGTGCATGTTTTCGCTCATCGCCGCTTTCAAATGAAATAGCAAAATTCCACACGATATAATTATATATAATAATAATAATAGTAATGCTGTCGTCGTCGCGCGATTTTTGTTATTTGCTGCCCTCTCGATTAACTCCGTTGTTTATATTCTATTTCGTTATGCAACACGTATGCAACAAACATTGCAGCAATTTAACTTTTTCTTTTCGTTCGTTCGTTGTAGGTACGAGACGTTGAAGACCGGCAAAATCAAATACGACAGCGACGGCCTTTCGAATCTGCAGTACGAGGTGAAGAAGATGAAGCGTAACCTGCTGTACACCTGGTTGCTGGTGGAGATCGGACCGCGCAGCTGATGGCGCGAGTTGGTCGACCTCTTGGGCAGATGACTAAAGGCGATGCTGTCGTTCCTCGTGCAGCAACGGCAGGAACAACCCAGCGGCGGCCACAAACTCAACAGAAAGCAACAACAACAACAACTACAATAATAATCATATACTCGAATGGCAGCGAATCTTCTACAAATTAGATGATTTTGTAAACTTCAATTTGGTCCAGGAAGAGCGTGCACCTTTTGTCTAGTCAGCGCGACTGACCCAATTCCTATTTTCGTATTTTTTTGTTTGTTTTTAACTTAAGAACAATTAGCAACGCAACAAAACCGAGAACATTTATAGAAACGCATGTGTACTTGGTAGTCTACGCGGACACACCATTGTCGTTTCACATTCTCATCTCGACTGGTAACTGTAGCACAAGAGATGCATTTATTTAGAAATGGAAGAGTGGTAGTAGTTTATGGTCAATGATATAATGACAAGTGAGAGATGTTTTTGTATCCGTTTTGATTTTGTCTAGGTGCCAAACAAGAATGTGCACAATTTATTTATGTATCGCTCACTCAATATGTTATACATCTTTGTTTGTATATTTGCATTTTTCAAATCGAAAGGGATATTTTTTTTTATTTGTTCATTAGCGCAGATTGATATAGTTTGTGTCTATGTACTTACTCTTAGCGAGGTGATCAAAATGACACTTTTCAATTTTGTTTCGTCTAGGAAACTCTGTGATATGTGTTTTCTCTTGAAGCGCAACAGAAAGAAGCACAGATCTGAAGTAAAATATGTATATGTAATATAGTTTATAAATCAGGCAAAGTGATTGATTTAATAATTGAATTTTTGCAGGAGGCTCGAATTTTTTTGTTTCGTTTTGTTTATATTAACGATATTGTTTTGTAAATAATTTGTTTCTGAGTTAAGATGAGCGTGGATGGAAGAGAGAGAGAGACAGAGATATTAATAAAAGAGAAGAACACGTTCATATTTATATATATATAACTAAATTAAAAAAAAAATATAGAGAGAATCTATTTTCAACGAAAACTATATAAATTGAATTAAATAACTGACTGACTAAATAAATACATTCTTCATTTACGTTCTAGTAATATAAATAAGGATATAATAAACTTGCTAATTTAAATTGATTTGTGATTGGAATTGTTCGAATGTAGAAATATGCAACTGATGTAACATTTAGGTAAGTGATCTAAGTGAGCATTAAATTTTGATTTTGAAATTGTCTTGTACAGAGAGAGAGAGAGATAGAGATAGAGATGAGCGAGATAATACGGGTTTGGTTCGCGAAACAGCTGGGCGTGATCTTCGGTCCGGACAGTTGGGATGGGCTCAACGCGAGCTCCCTATTGGCGCGACTCCTGCGTAGCTACGATTTGGTTGGTGAATTCGAGGTGGAGGTCGTGGAAACTGGTAATCCGGAGGCGCTCGAGAGCACGCTGCAACTGTTCCTCGAGACGATCAATAATCTGGGAATCGAGTTCACCAAAGAGGAGTACAGACAGGTGATTCAGGGCAAAGGAAGCGCCGCCACCAAACTGTTCTTCGAATTGTACTTGGCCCTGTACGATAAAGAGAAGTTGCACGTGATCACATCGAGGAAGATCAATCAGTACATAGACACGAGCGGAACGAGGTTCAGCATTGAGAGCGTCAAGGATGAGAAGGAGGAACAGGATGCGGCGAAATTCGATAATCCGTTGGCGGAACCGATCCTGAGGAGCGTCGATATCATTGATTGGTGCAAATTGAAGATGGACGCGTTCATGGAGAGGAGCGCGCTCGCACGCAAAGCGTACCTGGAGCACGTGGCCAAATACAGATTGGAACATTCCGAGAATCTGGTGAAGAACATTTCGAGCGCGTTACCCGAACCGCCTGAACCGAAATTGCCGACGATCGCGCCGAGTTTGAATCAAACGATAGACGAGTTGTTGCTGGAAGAGGAAGAGGCTAAAAACAAGGGTTGCTTGCAGAACGATCCGAAGGTCGCGAAAAAGATAATGAACACGATCAGGAAGCGGAGGAGGAAGGAGGAGGCGCGCAAAGAGCTTAAAGTCCGCTTCCAGAAGTTCCTGCTGAAAGAGCTCTGGGATCGCATTCTGAACGAGCAGGACGAGTATTTCAAGGACGACTTCACGAAGAAAATGCTGAAGCAGTCCATGTACGAACAGCAGATGACCACGAAGATGCTGGAGGTGCGCCAGCAGAAGGATCTGATAGCGGAGAACAAATTTAAGATGATGGAGTTCATAAGGTCAGAGGAGCAGAGTCAGTTTCACGCGCAGGAGGAACTGGAGAATCAGCACGTGGATGCAGCACGCATGAACTACTACGAAGAGAAGCAGAGAAATTTGGAGCTGCATCGGCGATTGTACGCGGAGAAGATCGCGAGGAAAGCGAAAAAGCATTACGAGATCTGCAAACAAGCGATGGACGATCTAATCGACATCTCTCTGTACCAATCCACGTACAAGGAGTACTGCGGGGAAGAGTTGAGCCGTCGCAGGATGAACGATCTCGCGAATCTGTTCATCAAGCAACAACCGATCTTCAACATACTCCCGAACGTTTCCGACATCATCAGCCACAATCCGTTCGAGCACGAAGACGCCGAGCTGATTCTGAAGTACTCGTTGGAGATTGAAAGGCAGAATGCGCTCGACGACATGAGCTTCGAGGAGTACTGCAATAACTATTGGCCCTGGGAGCTGTGCAACATAGAAGACGTGGATATGCAACCGATCGACTTGGGGATGAGCATATTGGGGTACATAGTGCACAGGATGCTGCTAGCCAAATACCCGAAGAAACCGCCGCAGCCGCCTCCGCAGATCGTCAAGGGATCGGTGGCCGCTTGCGTCAACGGTATACAGAATGTCACGTACTTACCTGCTCTGGAGCAGCTGCTGAGCGCGCGCAGAATCAAGGTAATCCAGATGGAGGATGCGATGAACTTTTGCTTGGAGCAGTTCAAGACCGAAGCCACCGAAGAGTACTTCGATGCGGTCTTCGTCAAAGATACGAAGAAGGCGGTGCAGACGTCCGCGCGCACCTCCAAGTCCTCGGACACAGGCACGTTGAAAGGTGGGAAGCGTAAATCCAGTAACCAGAAGAAGCCGGAGACGAGGAACTTTGACGAGAAGGAATCGCAGACTCCGGTGAGATTCCCGTGCGAAGAGCTCGTCCTATCCGCAAGCGGAGAACTGGGTCGCATCGCCTTCGAAATGCTCAACTTGGGAAACTCGCCCAACGATCATCTTCTCTGCACGATGTTCCTCGAATACCTGAAAACGTTGACAGGTATAGACGGATGGGTGCTAGTGAATTATCCGCAGACCATCGAGCAGGCCGCTATTCTCGAAGAGATCCTTACCTCGTTGCCGGTGCCGCCGATCACGGAAAAGATGCGCGACAGTATCGTGGATATCGTGGACTTTGAGGATCGCGAAATGGAGGGCGACGTGGACAAGTTCGAGGCGAAGAGACATTCGAAACTCGTCGGCAATCCGAAACCCATCGAGATTCCCTTCTACGAGACTTACCTGACCGCCTACATCGAGATGAAGAGCAAGGACGGAAGCGATTTGGACGAGGCTTACTTCGAATGCTTCAAAGAACCGCAACATGTTGATATCCTGAACAAGTTCTACGAGGATCAAGGCTGCAAATACACTTTGTACTATCAGCACATCGATTTCGCCACCATCAAACAT